ATTCAAACAGAACGATATCTTGGTAAGTATCTTACATGCATGTTGTTATCTTGGGTTATCTCATTAACTGAGAAATGAATTTTTTCTAACTTAGTTGTTTGATTTTGCAGTTGATCTTCTCGGGGTTGTCACTTTTGTTCAGAAACTTCAAAGAGGAGTTCATATGTCCGATACATCGGATACACCCACAGAACGTCCACTTATTCGTTTTGTACTCGAAGATCTCGGGTAAGTACAACTTATCCTCAGAGTATCTGGTGTCAGACTTGGGTTTCTTGATATATTAAAATATGTTAATTATCTTCTATGTTGGTGTAAATATATACAGTGGAAATTCCTTGAAATGTATTGCTTGGGATAACTTGGCAACGAAATTTGAAGAACTTTGAATCGTGATAAGTCTTCAAGGCATATTATTGTATTGCGATTTTTCTCTTTCAATAGGTGGAGGGGTACGTAAATATTAACTATTAATATTTATTCAATATGGCAATTAATCAGAAGTTTAACAGATTTATTGTTTCCACATGCATACTGAATATGTATATGTTATTAGATGAGTGGATAGTTGAATCGGAAAGATTCATATCTGATATTCTCGAGGATCCTCCTACTCCAGAAGTGGCAATAGCAAAGATGAGATATGTAGATTCCAATTTTGATGTTATATCCTGTCTATGTATTCTATTGACATCTATTTTATGATTTTATAATATTGTCATATTGTACCAGGCTTGAAATTGCAGTTGATTTTACCCCTTTAGATGATGAATATGAAGACCAGTTTCCGTAGGAGATATTAAATTTTTATTTCGTTTTTTATAGGTTGTGTATTTGAACAACATAGCTATTCTTTATTTTTATTGTAATACATAAAATATTCAATATCTATAAACTTCATCTATAAACTTCATCTGTTTCGCAAAGCATCTCATTTTAGCGTTTTTTATTTATTTACAAAGAGTGTCACTTTTTGTTTTCAATGCAAAATTGTGTTCATAGTCCATTGACACCGTTGTTGATTTAAAAGTATTATAATATTTTACTAGGAAAATAAATATGCATAGATATAATAAACATATATTTTAGAAATTGAAAAAAGTAATGTATACGAAAATAACAATATGAGGAGATTTTTGATATAGTACCATCGTTTATTGAATCAAATGATAAAAACATATAAAAAAAAAGAAAATAAAACATGCGAAAAAAGAAACTATTCAAAAATTTAATATAACACCATTGTCTGATTCCGTGATTGTGGTCTGCATTCTCTCGACTTCTGGTAGGTTAGGGTTTAGTAAAATTTCGGTACAATCGTATGCAGTTATCGCTGCCCAAGCATGTGCAAATTTGAACAGTTGCACGAAACGTATAACACAAATGTTAATTTTGTGTTCTTTCCATGATAAAGCAGTCATCAGGTCAAGTGCATAGTCGTTCCGTAATAACACTTGCAATCTAACATCTCTGTTGGGCATATAATAATCATATAAAGTAGTAAAAATTGATAATTACAGTGATTGCAATTGAGAAACATATTTAAAAAACTTACGATTCGTTACGGAGTTCCACGTAAACATTACCCCACTTTCTTTGGCTCTTGGAGGATTTGTGACTAAATGTTCCAATCACCGCGACGTGTCCAATTATATATAATAAAAAGATTAGTTAGTCATTGAGAAAGTTTATAGATATAAAATAGCATATATTTTTTGTTATTATTTATTAATTTATCTAAAGTCATACCAACGAAAAACAATGGGTCTCGGAGATTGTTGTGTATGTTACCAAATTCAACGATACTTAGGTAGTTGTTGTTATCATAGAAAGGGATCTTTGAAAAATAAGTTTGAGAATTCCATATTATTTTATAATTGTGCAACGTCGGTCTCAAGTCTCCGATGACAGGGACTACACCAAAACGGTACAGAATAATTGAATCTCCTTGCTTCACTTCTGATGTAAAACTGTCTATAAACCCTTTTGATATTGATCCATGTATTTTATCACCCTAAAAAAACAAAAATATGTATATCAGAGACGTGATATGCACGAAAAATATAAAGTCACCGGAATACCTTTTTATCACCCAACACCAAATCTAAAGTGTTATCAGGTTCACCGATGTGCTCGAACATACACAGTATTTTCAAACGAATACGGCGTAGTTGAATTGATGGAGTTATATCGGAGACATTGTTGTAAGTCATGTTTTTCATTGCTAAAAGACAAGCAGCGATCGACATGATGTAGTGCCTATAAAACCTAAAAAGTAGTCGTCATATATAACTCGGTAATGCTAATACATCGTTTTTATATATAACGATGTAAATGGCTCACCTCCGATATATTCCTAATACCAATTGGAAAATTGTTATAATTATGAATACCAATTGGAAAATTGTTATAATTATAATAATATATTATAATAGATCCCTAATACAAATCGGAAACGGTATCCCTGTGATCGTGAAAAATTCTCTATCAAGGTCCTATGTTATCCTAAAAATGTAAAATAAGCATTAAGGTATCTCAAAAATATAAAATATTCGATATATCCTTTTATTTTAAATTGTATAAATAGGAAACAAATGTTTGGTTTAAGTATTGTCTCTGCTATGTTTATTTAAGTTATCTTTGGACGTAATTGTTGTAGTTGTTTTGAGGCTCTGGGTTTGCGTTTAACCTAAATGGCTTATTTACTATCTATCGCCGCCGTGTATAAAAATAATGATCAAATTCTGTTTGGAATTTCCGAACTCGATCCTACCAAACATATATGGAAGACTAAGTTGAAAGTCTTACGTAAATTTAAAAGATTTCCTGAATGTGACCGAACGTTAGACTTTATAATGGGGGACTGGAAGGTATAACACATCAATTACATTATTATAATTTAGTTTTTGTAATGATAAATGTCTGAATGTTTAATTTCATACTTCTCAGGGACAGAAGATTTATGTAACTGCACCGATTGAATTTTATGATAAGTATTCGAGGATATGTAACGAGGGTGATTGGGTTCTTCTAATAAATCTTAATCTATTGCCTCTTACTGGTGAATTTAAGCCAAGTACACATCCTTATATGATTCAACTTACCAGTGATACAACATGTGCAAGCTCTTATACTTTAGATATCAATGGTTATTTTTCGTTCGTTGTTTTCGAAGATATTATGAATGGGACTATTGATTTTAACTACTGTGTGGGTGAGTATTCTGTGTATTTTTCATTACGATTTCTCATGCAGTTACTATATTGATTATTTGATATTCATTTTTTTTTTAAACAGATCTAATCGGTAAGGTTGTCAACGTTGGAAACTCTCACGATAGAATTGGATCCTTAGGATACTCTAGACAGCCTATAATAAGATTTGATCTCGAAAACGAAAGGTAATCTATTTTATGTTAATAGAATTTAAAAAACGAATTTTTAAGTTTAACTCAGACTGTTATTTGTTTGATGGGAAACTTTAGGAACCGACGTTTATCATGTTGTTTGAAAGGTGATTATGCTGAAACTTTTCTTCGTGAGTTGGGTGGATGTAAACAAGATGTCATTATTTGCATCATTCGTTTTGCGAAGATAATTGTTCGACGAGGTATATTTTTATTTTTTTATATGAGATGGTTGTAAAGTATATGCGATAAATATGATTTGATTTTCGTTTCTTCGATAATATAGGGTGTTTCTTGGCAACTATGTCGTATGATTGCACACAAGTTATTCTAAATTCGCCATGCTTCGAGGTCTATCAGTTTCGAGAGTTGATATCCAGTCGTTAAACCCTGATGTTACGAGTTCCGTGCTAATGTTTTAGGAATTATTTTATATCAATTTTTATTTTTAGGTTTTGTGGTTTGTGTTAAACATCGTATGTGATTTGAAAAAAACTTGACTTTTGACGCAGTGTATGAAAGTAAGATTTTTTATTATTATTTTCATGTATGGATTTCAATGTTCATAGTTATCCCCAAAACGCCTGCGTAACGAATTGTAGTATACTTGTCCACAGGAAAAAAAAATATGTGATATAATTTATTGGATGATATGTTAAATAACCATATTTTGGGAGAATATTCAATTTCTAAGAAATATAACGATAGTCTTTTCGGTTTTCGTAAAACATTAAGATAATATATTTGTTGTAATGTAGAGATATATTTTTAGGATTAACTCTGCATATTTGGAATAATAAATAATTATTTATAGATCCGCGTTATTGTAATGTAGAAGTATTTTAATAGTATTTTAACATTATCACGAAAAATGTAAATTTTCGATATTAGAGAAGATAGGCATATTATCGCGAAGAATAAGTAATGTTAACATTATCGTGCGGTTTTCTATTTTGAAATCCTTTTTATTACCAAAATCTTAATTTATTATGAGAAGTTAAAATGTATATTTTGCATTATCGCACAATATAATATTTCATATATATAGTTTGTTAATGATTGTGTATTTAGATCACACATTATTTTTTTTTGTTCGTGCTGTTCACCAGAAAAAATGAAACGTAAGCTTGGGCGTCCTCAGAAAAAAGGTTCATCTTCGTCGATTGCTCCAAATAAAGGTGTTTTTTTTAAGTAAATCACATTTTTAAGACATTTACGTGTTATAAATTTGCTTACTATTAATTGTAATTTGTAGGTAGTAATGTTAAGAACGCACGATATGCTCCTACCAGTGTAACCGATATAGACCAACATGGAGGTTTGTTCAGTTACAATATCAATGAAGTTCCTGATCTAACACCCCCGGGAATTCGTAATGCACAGCAGAGACGAATTCATATCATGCGTGAGAGGAGAAAAAGAAAAGAAGCTATTGGTTTGATCTTCTTTTTCGTAATTACAATGTTTATTAATAATTATATGCCTGATTTTCACTTATTATTTTTTTCCGTAAAAAAAACAAACAGATCTTTTGGCTACTTCTATCAACACCGAAGAGTTTGCTTGCTTTATTGCTACTGATTCTGAGTCCGATATGGATAATGATGAAGACTCTATGTCGAAAAGTGAGGATGTGGAAAAATCGAGGCCTGGTAATAAAAAGAAAGGAAGACCCAAAAAACGTGCTAAAATCTCTGATTTTTGTGATGAGGATGCAACAGAGACCGTTGTTACTAGAACAGATTTATTGGAATCAGTTAGTCCTGGTCTGAAAGATGGAGGTTATGGTTTTCATTGAACTAATATATTTCATTCAATACATAATATATAACTACTGTGTAATTAATACTAAGCAATGAATATTATTTTAATTAGGTTATTACGACGATGGTGATCATATATATATATGTGGTAATTGTAAGGCTTATATGTGGTATGGAGAGAGGTTGGGTAAACGATATCGACGTGGAAAGCCTATATTCTCCATGTGTTGTGGTCAGGGTAAAGTCGTTCTTCCACTTCTTAAAACCCCTCCGAAATCTTTATTAGCATTGATGTATAATGATGGTGATTTGCGTGATCACTTTCGTGAGTTTATCCGGGCGTATAATATGATGTTTTCTTTCACTTCTCTTGGAGGAAAAATAAATAAAGAAATCAACGACGGGAAAGGTCCTTACATATTCCAAATGAGTGGGGAGAACTACCATTCTATAGGGGAGTTGCTACCACCTCCTGGAAAAGAACCAGCCTTTTTACAGCTATATATATATGATACCGCAAATGAAACATCTAACCGAATAGCTGCTTGTGGGTATGATTATCATTCTTTTGGTTTATATTAAATTTAATCATTGAGATCAATTTTAAAACATATATGTATTGTTATTAAATGTTATATGGTTCTAACTGTTATAAGAATTTATTTTAAAAATTTTACAGGAAAACGGGACCAGCTGATAAATTGCGAGTGAAGGTTGTTGAGAAAATAAAAAATATGCTAGATAAACATAACAAACATGTGGATGCATTACAAAACGTTCGAGAAAGGTTTGATCCTAACGATGATACAAGCCGGTTAAGGATAATTTTAAAGTGTGACAGGAATAGCGATGGAAGGACTGAGATTCTACCAGCTAATAATGAAGTTGCTGCATTGATACCTAATGATTTCGATGGTCAGGTAGATGCACGTGATATCATCATCGAGTGTAAAAAGACAAGGAATCTCAAAAGGATCAGTGAATTACATCCTGCGTATCTGCCTTTGCAATATCCATTATTGTTTCCCTATGGTGAGGACGGGTTCAGACTTGGTATCGATATTGGTTTTGTAGATACTCAAGGGAGGAAAAGGTTGCATATTACTATGAGAGAGTTTTTTGCTTACCGCATACAAGAGAGGGTTGGTGAGTCACCAATCATCCCTTTATCTGGAAGATTGTTCCAGCAGTTTTTGATGGATGCGTACACGATGATTGAGACTAATAGACTACGTTTCATATCAATGAATCAGTCTAAACTTCGTTGCGAGAATTATGACAAAATAAAGAAAACTGTTGATGAAGGTGACACTGATCTTTCTGACAAGGGTAAACGTATTATTATACCTTCTTCTTATACTGGTGGTACAAGGTATATGGTGCAACATTACCTAGATGCGATGACTACTTGCCAGCATTTTGGTTTTCCGGATCTTTTCATAACCTTTACGTGTAATCCCAAATGGCCTGAGATTACCAGGCACCTAAAAAGACATAACTTGAAGCAAGAGGATAGACCAGATATATGTACGCGAGTGTTCAAGATGAAACTAGATGATCTCATGCACAGGCTCACCAAAGAAAATGTGTTAGGTGTCGTAAAAGCCGGTATGTTTTATTAAACTAAGTATCTTATTTTGTTTAGCAAGATAATGTTCATAACATTGCTAGATGAATGCTAACTAATCTTTTAAAAACTACCATTTATTCGTTGCAGCGATCTACACGATTGAGTTTCAAAAACGGGGGCTACCTCATGCACACATCGTTCTTTTTTAGAAGCTGGTCACAAGCTACCAACTGGTGATGACATTGATAAGATAATATGTGCTGAGATTCCTGACAAGGATATTGATCCAGCGCTGTATGAGATAGTAGGAGATGTCATGATGCATGGACCATGTGGTGCTTTGAATAAGGATAGTGTTTGCATGGCTGAAGGAAAATGTACAAAGTATTTTCCAAAACCTTACAGTCCGATCACTAAAATAGATGATGTTGGATATCCTATATACAGGCGACGTAATGACAAGAAAGTTATCGTTAAAAAGGGTATTGAATGTGATAATGGATTTGTGGTTCCTTATAATAGGAGTCTCACACTGCTTTAAAGGGCTCACATCAACTTCGAATGGTGTGTACAATCTCGATCAGTAAAGTATCTATTCAAATATATTCATAAAGGTGCTGACTACATTCGTGCAACTGTCAAGAATGATGATAAAGAAAACGAGATTAAGAAACACTTCAATTGTAGGTATGTTTTACACATTTGGTTCACATATTTTATATCTTTGAAATTCCAATCTTCCATTATTTAATAATGTCTTTCTATGTAGGTACGTAGCACCTTTGGAGTCTACGTGGAGAATTTTCGGTAATCATACTCACCATCGCACAGTTTCTGTAATTAAACTACCCTTTCATTTACCGAATCAGCAAATGGTCATATACAACGAGGATGATCCAGGTGACGAGGTTATTAATCGTGTCTCAGTTGGTACGTCAAAATTCATTGCTTGGATGGAGTGCAACGATATGTATGAATTGGCGAGGACGTTAACTTATGCGCAATTTCCTACGAGATTCGTGTGGAATAACACAAAGAGAATATGGACGCCACGATCAAGGAGAGTTGCTCTTGGTAGAATCACGTACGTACCCATTGGGGCAGGTGAAGCGTATTATTTAAGGCTTCTGCTTAATTTAGTCAAAGGACCACGTAGTTTTGATGATATAAAAACGGTCAACAAAGTTCTACATTCTTCCTTCAAAGAAGCTTGCTATGCGTATGGATTATTGAATGATGACAAAGAATATATTGAGGCCATCAATGAGGGCGGCTTGTGGCTTTCTGCCAATTATCTCCGTCGTTTTTTTGTGATCCTGCTCACTACTCAAAGTGTATCCATTCCTTCTAGAGTTTGGGATGCTACATGGCAGGTATTATCAGATGACATCATATATAATTACAGAAAAGTTGCCAGGGACCAAAGTAAGTCGTATAGTTGTTGTTTGCGTTGTTGTTATTATATATATTTAAGATATTGATAGCTAATTTATCTTTTGTAATTTTTTTGAAATTGTGTAGCTGTTAGTCTATCTCAGGAGCAAGTTAAAGACTTTACCCTGGTCGAAATAGAACTTCTTTTACGTGTAAGTGGGAGATCCTTAAAAGAATTCACACCTATGCCGTTTCCTGAATATATTACTCTGGAGTCACGTGATAATCCTCTTATTCGGGATGAGAGGAATTACAATCGTGAAACTCTTAGAGTAAGAAACGAGCAGATGTTAGCCACTGTAACCAGTGAACAGAGAAGTGTTTATGATGAGATACTAGAAGCAGTTAATAAGAACAGAGGAGGTATGTTCTTTGTTTATGGTTCTGGAGGTACTGGTAAAACTTATTTTTGGAGTCTATTAGGATCTGCTCTACGTTCCCAAGGTGATGTTGTTCTCAAGGTTGCATCGAGCGGGATTGCTGCGTTGTTATTAGAAGGAGGCCGAACTGCGCATTCAAGATTTGCAATCCCTATTGTGGTTAATAAGTTTACCTTCTGTTCAATCAAGAAGGAGTCGAATCTTGCCGACTTGATAAGGATTTCTAAACTCATTATATGGGACGAGGCGTTGATGATGAGTAAAGACTGTTTCGAGACTCTAGATAGAACGATGCGTGATATATTAGAAGTTGATAAGCCCTTTGGTGATAAGGTCATTGTTTTAGGAGGGGATTTTAGGCAAATATTGCCAGTGATTCCAAATGCCGGGAAGACAGAGATACTTATGGCCACTTTGAATTCGTCACCTCTGTGGTACAAATGTAGAGTGTTGAGACTTACACAGAAAATGCGACTTATAGCTGGAGATAATAGTCGTGCTATGCTTGAACGAGCTGCCTTTACAAAGTGGATCTTAGACATTGGTGATGGTACGATAAATGACGATGGTAGTGGTGAAGCCGTGATTGATATTCCTGATGATCTGTTGATTAAAGACTGTAAAGATCCTATAAAAACGATCGTCAAAGAAATATATGGGAATTTGTTTTCGAATGAGACTGATCCTAAATTTTTCCAAGACCGTGCCATACTGAGTCCAAGAAACGATGATGTAGATACGATAAATGATTATATGCTTTCAAAGTTACCGGGTATGTTTATTTTGTTTTAATTCCTCTTAGTTTATTTCTTTATATTTATATAATACAACGGTTGTTTTGTATATCACAGGTGTTGAAAGGACCTATCTTAGCTGTGATAGCATTGATACGACTGAAGAAGTTGTTAATTACAATGATGCGTCTGAAGTACCCTCAGAGAGTGTAGCCAGTAAGAATAAAGGTGATTCCAACAATATGATTTATACCGAGGAGTTTTTAAATAGTATCAAGATGTCTGGTTTCCCTAATCATGTCCTAAGTTGAGAGAGGGTACTCCTGTAGTGCTTCTAAGAAATATCGACCCTAAGAATGGGTTGTGTAATGGCACAAGACTCATCATTATTAAGATGGCTAATTATGTTCTCCAGGCTCAGATAATAACAGGTAGCAAGGTTGGTGAAAAGGTACGGATTCCTAGGATATTCCTCTCTCTTTCGGAGATGAAACTTCCTTTCAGGATGAGACGCAAGCAGTTTCCTATCACATCAGCTTTTGCAATGACTATAAACAAAAGCCAAGGACAGACACTCGAAAAGGTTGGTTTGTATCTTCCAAGACCGGTTCTTACTCATGGACAACTCTATGTCGCTGTATCGAGGGTTACATCAAGAGAAGGTTTGAAGATATTGATCACCGATAAAGACAACAAACCACAAAACAAAACATTGAATGTCGTCTACAAGGAGGTTTTTGACAAGATATGATATTCCTTTTTACTGTGTTTTGTTTTGTGATATGTTGTCTCTATGTATCTCGAAATATGTTAGTTCTTTTTATTGTATAAGTCCATTACATTCGGTTTTATAGTTTTTAATAGATTTAACGTTTTTCGATTTTTCACTAAGTTGGATCTCATGTATTAATGGTTTGATCTCTGATTTTTAACTGTAGTCGGATATTTCAGTGACAAACTCTATTCGATAACATATTTTAACCAAACTTTAATTGTAGCATATTATTGGGCATCTATTGACATTTCATCGAGAATGCTTCAAAACCAAATTATCATGTCATCGAAATAAACTTAATAGTTTTTAGAAAATAAAACCAAGTACATACAGTCTTTAAAGTGATCATTGCAAACAGAAAAAAAACATGAAATTGGTTTGAAACTGATATTGTTCTTGATTAAACTCCAGATCTCCTCTTTTTACGTTCCTTCTCCTTTCCCTTTAAACACAGACACAAACAATCCGATTTAGATTTTTGTAAAATTATATAGCTTTGAACTAACTCAATATTATATTTAAACATGAATTGTTTCTACAACATACAGTTCAATCGGCAATCAATAACAAACTATAATGACTCAATAACATAGATTTTAGACAACTTTTCATAATTTAGATCTAAATATATTTCTGATCACGTACCCATTCGGCGGTGTCCATGTGTCTAATTTCTGTCTCCACAAAACCGCAACGCATGCACTTCAACCCTATCTCCAGATCTAGAATCAGGTCGTGTTTTCGTTTTGTGCAACTTGATTGGGGTGTCTCAAGTAGAATATACAGATTTTATAATTCATTGTGTAAGACATGATTCAAACAAACTTTAGTGAATAGGATGTATTACCTGAGGAATGTTCTGTTTGCCTTTCTGATTTGATGCGGTGAATAAGTGTATTTGTTCCCATAATTCTTCTTGCTCTATCTCGGAATCTGTTGGTGAAGGTGGTGACTTTGGTTCCACGACACCAAATCTCATTACCAATGGTGGGGGATTGATGATCAACAAGCCATTTTCATCAAAATTTTTTTCGTTTGTGTTCGCCATGTTCTTATGAATTCTCTCAGAAAACGATAATGGTACTTATAAAATATTTTAAAGTTTTTTGAAAAGAAACCCTCAAGTCAGTATTTATAAGGTGTGCAATAATAATCAATTTTCACGTTTTTCAATTTTTTTATGGGGAAGATTATGCGACTTTATGTTTGTAACTAACCGTTTGACTTTCCAGGTTTCCTGTTTCATATAATTTTAAGGAAAAATGCTCAAGTAGATACATAAAGTTATAACGTAAACGTCTACATAAATGGCATTTTTTTGTTATGATGTTGTATGAATATGTCATTTTCTAAAATATTGAAACATAAAATTGTCCAAATAACATAAGCCATAGAGAGAGATCATATTATTTTATGGAAAGTGTTGCAATTTAGCAAAAGATTATATTTAGTAAAATAGTATTATTGAGATTGCGTGTATATTTGGTGAAACTTAAAACATGGAATATATTCTCTCTGGTACGTGAAACGAACAAATCGGTCAATATCAATATGGAAGTGTCTTGACATAAATTAGTGGATTGTTGTTGGTTTTGACAGTAAAGAGGCTTTAAATGGTAACTGTTCAAATTTTTTCTTTTAAATTAATTCAAACGAAAATAAATTTATAAGAAAGTAGGATAATTCAGACAAAACCATATCGGACAAAGTAAGATAATTATTTTGACATTAACCCTACTCCCTTAATATAGTTTTTTTGTGATACTATATTGTTTACATATATGCTTAAATATTAATTTCAGATTTGAGTGAAGATACGAAACGATGTGCATGATTATGATTTAGCTAATGTAAATTTTCATTGCAATAAAATTGTCATTTAACGTATAATGTAAATTTTCATTGCAATAAAATTGTCATTTAACATATATAGATGGTTTTATAGTAAACTATCTTAAGAATTAGTAACAATGAGAATTGAAATATTAACATAATTTAAAATAGAAAAATATCAATAATTTAAAATAGAAAATTCTCAATATATATATATATATATATATCTATTTATTTTACTCGAAGATAATATTGTTTCCTTATCTATATTTATCCTGAAATGTTAATATTCTTAATTTTCGGTTATAGGTTAATATAAAATCACATTTTTTCTTATAACTATACTCTAAATTTCATAACCCTAAACGATAGGCATCACGCAATGGCGGATTATGATTTCGTTCGTCAATTGGACTCTCAAAGATCTGACTGGAGAATTATAGTGAAAATACTCAAAAAATGGGTGGTGGATTACTCGGACGATAATCGAAGTCTAAATTTCATTCTGGTCGATGAAAGAGTAAATTTCAATAACTTAAAATGTTATTTGTGATAATTATTATTGAATTTGCTTATTGTTTTAACATACAATAATTTGTTCTTTTGTTGATCTAATGTTATCGTATAAACTTTTAGGGTTGTAGAATACAGGCTCGGGTAAACAATCAGATGATGGAGCATTTCAATCAAATATGCGAAGAAGATCAATGGTTTATGTTGACTGGATTTCTTTTGAATCCTTACAACTGGACTAATATCCAAAGTATTACAAAACACGATTACGTTATTACACTGACACATGGAACAACGATCTCACCAGCTTTACCATTAACAAACAATTCATTCTATAATTTTGCATCATTCCTCTCGATTTATGAATTCATTATTATCTAATTGGTAAGAATATTTTGGTATCTTCTTATAATGCAAAATTTATAGTTCGCACTAATGTCTTAATTTTGACTAATCACAATCGCAGATTTGATTGGAGTCGTTGAAAATGCTAGATATTTTACTATTACATACCCGGATGGAACGACTACATCATCAATTCGATTTAATATAATAGATGATGAGTAAGTATACCTCAAACTGTAGGTTTTTGAAGTTTAACTAATTAATTATTAACTACATTCTTTTTCAAAATATAGGGAGTACATGCTAGAATGTGATGCACATGGTGAGTTGGCAACTGAAATAAGAGATAAATGTAGAGAATACGAAGGTCCCTTTGCTATATGTGTGTTAACCGATTGGTGTGTAGCAATTGATGGGGGTATGTTCTCTGATGATACATCAATATGTTATTTACAAAAACGTTGTATATAACATAACAATATTCCAATATATATGTTTTAGAGAATGTGTCTATCAAGGATCATGATGACGATGGTGTGTCCCGTTTTATCACTGATTCACCTATTGATGAAGTTTTGACCTTGCGCAATAGGTAAGTATGTTTCGATGTGTTGTTAAAATTGACTTATGAAAAAAAAAATATGTATATTTAGATCTACATGATTTTGTTATTGAAATTTCAGGATTAGAGAGAGATTATATGGGCTGGATACAGATGATGTCTAATGGTTTGGGCCGATTGGAATGATTCAAAATCGATAATCCATATATATTATTAGTTTTTTTTAGACACTTTTTTTTTGTATTTACAAGACTGTTTTGGGTCAAGAAATTTCGTGTTATAACCAAAATTCGACTCTTCCTTTAACAAATAATTTGTGTTAACCAATAATCTATCTAGAATATTCATCATAAATTGCAACTTTCCAAAAATGGAACATTTTTCTTTTGGAAAATACGGAAAATGCACTGATACACGCGACACTTTCCATAACCGTTATTTGGATGTTATATATATCCCCATTTTCTCATATACATTGTTAAAAATAAACAACAAAGTAACCCTTCCCCCCAACTGTTTCTTTGGTTTTATAAAAACATTGTCCAGCAAAATTACGTTCACTAACTTGGTGTAATGACTGTATACTGAAGAAATTATTGTATTTTTTGATTATTTTTGACTCGGTATGCTCGCCTATCTCGGTTGCGTGTATGCTTAGTCCACCAGATGCAATTAGATTTTATTCTCTCATATTGCATGCTGCTAATGTCTCGAAAAAGTACATTAACGGATGAAAAGACGCCTTTGACAGACAATTTTTTTGTCATTTAAAATAAAACCTATAAATAATTTAATCTTTATTTTAATAATATATATTCAATGTTGTATGTTTCCATAAGTTTATTGGGTTGAAAAAGGAAATAACTGTCTAGAATGTAACGCGTATATATATGTGTTCGCTTTCCTTCTTTTTTTTTTTACTTTTCCTTTTGTGTTCTTGACAGAGAAAAAAAATGTCTCATGTTGTTGATATCTCTAGGTTAGATTATTACACCACCGGTGGTGAAGTTCATGTGCAAGTTGTTCGACTCTGGAAGAATGTAAATTTCTTTGGGGATACAATTGAGATGATTCTCTCTGACGATCGGGTATTTCGTTATGTAGTTGTTATTTCTTTATATATTTCATAGGGTTGTTTTTAAAAGCAATTTTTCTTTTGGATTTTACACTTGAATTTATGCGAAATCGATCTTAGGGTCATCGTATCGGCGCAACTGTCATGCCCGATGAAATCGCTCTGCATGGACCTGTACTTAAACAAGGTTACTGGTTTAGGGTTCGTCGATTCGTTGTTAAGAAGGCCAGTGGTTCGATATGCATAACCGTAAACAGGCATCGGTTTATTTTCAGATCTCATACGGTCGTGATTCCTATCTCTCCAATAACCCATAATTTGCACTTGCATCTCAATTGCACACGCTTCTTTGACATCGTGACTCGCGGATTAGATTTTGAGTTTTTAATTGGTAATATTGGTAATCATCTGTTAGTTTTGTGACAATTTTAGTATAATATATCGTTTTGTTAATATCACTTTTTTTTGTATTTGATATAGATGTAATGGGAACCGTGTTGAAGATGGGTGATCTCTGTGAGATCAATAGCGATGCTTATGAGAACAATGCAACATATGTTCGATTTGAACTTCTTGATGCAGGGTAAGATCTATGAGTTTATATCCATATGTCGTTTGTTTATGCAAAAAAAAAATGTATCGTTTTGGTTTTATGCCATCTAAATTGGAAGAACCTTTTTGTTATATTTTAATCAATTAGGAGAGATTGTGTATTGCCATGTATCGCCCGTGGGAATGTGGCTAAGAATCTGCATAGTGTTTATCAGCGTAATCAAAGTGAATCAGTGGTGTTTGTGCTGAGGTTTTGGAAGATGACTAATGGTCAAGGTAGGTTTTTATTCCTCTTCTTTAGTATTTTAGAATAGCTAATCTTGCATTCTTCTAATTCTGATTCATAAAATTAATGATAGGTGTTGATAAGAATTCGGTTGTCCTATGCTCTTACCCTCCTTGCTCTGATTTCCTGTGTAATCCTGTTGATGACGAGATTGACGATTTCAGGGCTAAGTAAGTATTAAATTTATTTTTTCTTTATTGACATATTTTGTTAGTTGATTTTTAGATATATTGATCTAACATATCGATTTCTTTTTTTTTTGTAGGCGATACCGCCTTAACTAATGTACCATCGATGGATTGTCAATTCCTTATCTTTCTTTTTAACGTTTGTAAAACTATTATATTATGATACTTATTAAATGATATCGGTTGTTTATTAATCTACTATTTCGGTTTGACTCTATGCATACTGCATTATGTCTTATTTATATTATGAATATTATGAATGATTATGTCTTATTTATATTATGAATGTTATGAATGATATCGTTACATTGTCTTTAGTGTTTAGAATAAATTTGTATATCAATGGTTTTGAAGTGTTTTGTCTTTTTTGGTGATGTATGGTGATTTGAAAAGTTGATTTGTAAACTATAGTCTACTCAAAGGGTTAAGTATTCATTGCGTTTTTGAACAAATATCTGACAACTTCTGATAGATTTGAATAGATGGGTATCTATAGTTTTTGATATATATATATATAATATTTTGTAGATGTATATCTCCAATATACAATAAACTTAACATTTTTGATTATATATATAATATTAATGCCTAAACCGCATGTAAACGATAAACGATTGTGTCTTGATCAATTGGAGTGTAAAAAAAATAAAGGAATGGATAATCAGGCATATGTCATTATTCTTAATAATGTTCTATCAAAAAATACCGCGTGTTGGATTATTAAAAAGTATGTCAATAACATATATAATAACTGATTTGATTCTAAATCTGTTTGATATAAACGATTTATTATGTTACATTTAAATTATATATCATCTGAGCCCAAAATTTGTATACATCTTATGGGCCAAAAAATTCCGTGTTGTAACCAAATTTGGACTCTTCCTTTAACAAATAAATTGTGATGGTCTTGAATGATTTAGAAGTTAGCTCTTTAATTTATGAATATCTCGGTTATTGCCCTGATCTATTAAATTTATTAGTAATTAATAATGTTTTCAATATCAATCATATTGTTAATGTGTTATCTTAATATTTTCTAAATTTATTATGTATAATAATTCTTTCATCTAATTAAAGGGTTTTAAAATTCAAAATAATGAGAAAAAGTCAAATAGAATTGTCAGACAAAATAAATGAAAACATCAGATGAAATAGGTAAATTCAATGGCTAGGGAAAATAGGTGAGTGATCAAAAAAGTAGTCATCTTCAATGTTGTTAAAATCATCTGTGTAGTCAAGCTTGCAAGAAAAAGATAAATAATGAGTCGAATATTCAACAATTTTGTTTAGTAAATCTACAAGATGATATCGGTGAACAATGCTTACATAAAATGACAATTTTCGACTTCAGGAATTGGTGGATCGAACAATATTTCAGAGAATTCTCGACCAGAACAAACACATATTTCATCTGTACAACATAGAAAATTATATTAGCTACAATTGATATAAATATAAATTGATATATGGTTGGTCGATAGAATGAGAAATAACCTCCATATCGACACATCTCCCAAAATCTCAATACACAGAAAACGATTTTGCGACGAGGAGTATTTTTCCATAAGGACTCAAAATGTTCAGCATCTCTTCCCCACGCTATGCAACTGATGTCGACACCCCTAAAAATCAGAATTAATATATAATTTTTCCTTAACATCGAGAATATGATAGTAAAGATTAATATATGTATTAGTCTTTGTATCAATGGATTCTTACTCGAAATCTCTAATTGTAAATTTTAGAACACTTGAGTTGATTCTCTGATTTCCGATCCAAAATTGGTCTTGACGTTCCAATTGACAAACTTTAATAATACCTCCGATCAAATCAACTAGCATAAAGCAATATATTCATATAATTAAGAGAGTATTAATTAATCTAATTGAGTATAATAAAATACTAAGAAAACATACCAACGTCTATGTTTTCCATCAGAGATTCGTCAAGGATACTTCTAAAATTAGCAAATGAATACAACTGGTCATCTGATTTAGGCGATGTCTTCTCAACATGAGTATCCTCATCGATACAGATATGGAGACCATTGACTGTAATCCTCGAAGTTCCCATGTGTGGAGTAATTTTGAAGTTACCAATGAAGTACCAATCTTTATCACACATCATGCCTTCATAATGGTCTACTAAACGATTCGGAATCGATGTACGCATTTGATCACCCTAGATTTTTAGTTAAAAAATAATGATGGTATTGATAATATATTAAGATTCAGACAGTATGTTATTTTTGAAGTTATACTTACATGTTCGTCTGCGAATATAAACGATCGCTGAATACCATGAACACCTAGGCTTTCCTCGACACTCTTGATAACTTGAACACAGATAGAAGATCGATCAGATGCTATATCTAAATCAGAAATCATCGTGCAAGGAGACATTTTTTCAAAAATAGATGCAGTTATTCTTAACAATGAATATAATCTGATTACGATTAACAAATGGGTACTACTTTAAATTGAAAACCACCGTTACGACAACCAATAGTAGTGTTTGCAATGTTTTGAGAAATAACGGTCATATTTACCACCGCTAATTTACTTGAATATATATGTCATGTTTTGTTATAATTATAATCTAATAATTATGAAAATCAATAATAGAAAGAACCTCATCAGAATCATTACTAGGTGATAAAATGACATATAATTGTGATGATTATTAATATTTATTTTATTATGATAATAATTGTGATACTAGCTTTTTTAGAGGCTTAGACATAGAATTTTTTTCTGAACGAATATTTATTAGATTTTATTTCGTTTATTATATAAAGTACAATTTTTACTATATTTGATTAATATTACTGTATAATTTTATTTTAATATTGTAAATAAGTGTTGTTCATCTTAAAAAATGATATATACCGAAATTTTAACAAAAAAATATTATATAATTTAACTATTATTCATAAACTCAAATATAAAAATATTATACGATTTCTTTAATATATAAAGCTCGCGCTTGGCAAAAATTGAAAATAAAAATGTGATGTTTATGTTACAAGAATCTCGATAATTAAATTATATTAAGGTTTATATAATGATTTTGTCCGCGCGACGCGGGTAGATACCTAATTTATATATATAACAAAATATTTTTTAAAAAAAATTTAAAAGTATTTGGAAATAAACAATAAAAATGCTTCTATTTTAATATAATAGAAGTTAAAAACACTACTAATTTGCACATCACATTACAGAGTTCAATAATTTCGTTGTATAGACCCAACTTTTTTTAATTTTTTTAAAACTATCTGCCACTAGCTCTCGAATCATTACAAAATGTTTTTTTTCTCTTTTTTTTTGTTGGCAAATAGTGAAACAAATTAAAAAATATATATATATCTATAGCTTATCCAAATATTCATCTAACAAGAACAAGAAAGTCAATGGGGAAGAACAAGAAGCGGTTTGTGCTTATCCATGGGGTCTGCCATGGCGCATGGACTTGGTACAAGGTAAAACCGGTTCTCGAGGCAGCTGGTCACATCGTGAGTGCACTGGATCTGGCTGCATCCGGTATAAGCACGACCAGATTGGAAGAGATTCAGAGTCTTGAAGATTACTCTAAACCGTTGCTTGAGTTTCTGAGCTCCTCGGATGATGATGACGAGAAAGTGATACTTGTTGCTCATAGCATGGGAGGCATACCAGCTGCTCTCGCTGCTGACATCTTCCCTCGTAAGATCGCTGCTATTGTCTTCTTGACAGCTACCATGCGCGACACAAGAAACCCTCCTGCTTATGCTTTCGAAAAGGTATTTTTTTTCTGATCACTGATTCTTGAAATGATTCTTGAACGATATCTTAAAGAGGAAAATTCTGCAGTTTGTCCCGAGCGTTCCACAAGAAGAGTTATTGGACACAGTGTTTAGCAGCTACGGAACACCAGATCGTCTTGTACACACTGTTCTTTTCGGACCAAAGTTCATGGCCAAGAAACTATATCAGTTGTCCCCTATCCAAGTAAGACTCTGATCCAAGAATTGCCTTAATCAATGCACTGTGTTTCAATAACTGTCTTATCAAACCTCAGTATTCCAAGCACAAATGAGATTGTTAGTAATAGACCTGAAATCCAATTTATTGTTAGGATCTTGAATTGGCGAAATTGTTGGTGAGGGCAAACCCGGCACTAGCTACGGACAATCTTGCAGGGACAAAAAGCTTTACTGAGGAAGGTTATGGATCGGTTACACGTATTTATATCGTGTGCGGTGAGGATAATCTAGTGCGTGAGGAATACCAGAGTTTGATAATTAGCAACTTTCCGCCAAAAGAAGTAATGGAGATTAAAGATGCAGATCATATGGCAATGTTATCCAAGCCTCAACAACTATGTGGTCTTCTCTTGGAAGTCGCAGATAAATATGCTTAAATCAACCTGAGATCAAACACTTCAGCTTCCACCACAATAAGGTTGGCCATATGAGAGAACTTTCTTTATGTATGTGAAATAAGCAAATTATAATAAACAAGCAAATTTAGCAGAGCAATTTATATGCAAGATGAGAACAACAGATCAATTTGGCTTACATCAAACTCGTACCAAGAGAAAGAACAACCATACGAGATTTCATTATACACATTCATACCAACAGAAAGTATGACACTTAAAAGACTCTGCTTTTGCGAGAGTTACGGTCAGTCTAAGAGATAGGGTACTAGAAGAACCACAAGTGGGCTCTTCTCAGGCTAGTGGACTTGGTACAGGCTTAACGGAGAAAGGCAATGGATTGGTTACAAAGAATTATATTGTGATAAGCGTGCATGAGGATTTTGAACATTTTGGGTTAAAAGAAGTAATGGGATATCAAAGATTTAGGTCACATGGCCATGTTCTCCAATTCCTCAAAAACTCTTATCATACTCACTTGAAGATATGGCATATGCATATTTGAGTAAATAAAACTTAAGATCGTAAAAGAATCATAGGCATATTTCTGTGATGTTACTTTCAAAGCAAGAAACTTCATTCTCAACTTTGAATATTTGTATTGAACGTTTGATGATATATTCATTGTACAGAGTTTCTCTACAGAGGATATATTGTTATCTTTTACAGAAGCTTTTGTTTTGGAAGTCGAGAAGAAAATAGAAGCACAATACAGGAACTTTCTTCAAATCTAGTTATCCAAGAACATCTTCATCAAATCCGAATGAATTCTTTCAATTTTGAGAATCAACATCATTCATCAAAATGTTCTATTCCTCCAATTATGTCATTTCTATTGTTTGTTTGAGTCTTTGAGATATAAATTCTAACCAGTACCAATCTCAATAGCCAGGTTCAATTATCAATTGATAAAACCAGGATTCTTAAGAACTAAAACCAATCTCCAAAACTAGTTATTATAATCATTGAGATTAACATATCATCGGAACTCTGTATTGTTCTCTCACTTGGAACACTTCCTAATAACTTCAATAACAAAGAAATAACAACAATTAATAATAAATGATCGGCCTCATTGAGAAGATTAGGCTTATCAACACGGATTAATTCAGACATATGCTTGTCTTAATCGATTTAATCATCGGCCGATTCTGAGAAAACATAAACCAAAAACAAAATAAAAAGAGAAAAAATTGGACTCAGAATATGGGTGGTGATATAACAGAATGGTCGGCAAATAAGCTTTTTTACGGCCTATATTACGACGAACGAGACCTTTCAATATCAATCGTCACTGTCCAGAAAAACAAACAATAAAAAGATTTGTTCCAAAAATTAGCACAAAACTTATATTTTTGGGAGAAGTCTCAGTTAAAGCAGCGTTTTTCTCACCAAAGTATATAACTCAGACGGTAATTCCATGTTTTAGCAATTAATCATCATCGATTCCTCCCTCTAATCACTCTAATTAACATTAAAACCACAAATTATATAAAATGTAATCGCCGAAATGGCTCCGTAGGTCACAAAATCAAAGATCCACAGGTTCCTATCAGAAAGCGAAACACAAACAATTTGTTTATGCCCAATGTAGCATCGATGAATCATAGCCGGAAAAAGCTATCGTCGACGTGGCATCGGGCAAATTTTCATCAGAAAGACAAAACTAAAAAAATAATCGAAAACCCATCAGCGAACCCTTTTAAAATCAACCAAAATCAACCACACAATGGCTATGACAAATTTTTCAATAAAAAAACAAAAAAATTGCAAACCCTTCAGGGAACCCTTTTAAAATCAACCACACAGAAGCGGACACAGAAACGGTAGAAAAGTACGGTAAGATATGACCCGACCGGGCAGCCCGAATCCGACTATAAACGGATCCGGGTTAAGGATCCGAAGACGGTGGAGACGACTGATACCGGTGGATTGGGAAAATCAAAAACCGGATGCATTCCTCACGTTAAGTCCGCCGCTGCGTAAAGAGTGTCATACGGCACTTCCTATCTTTTGGGATTTCTTCCTCATCAGGCAAAATCAAATTTCGAAACACTAAACAAACAAATTGAGAAAAAAATTTGATGGGAAAAAGAGAGAACCAAAAGGTTAGCGAAGGTAGAGACGTGTATGAAGAAGATATTACAGAAGATAATAGAGGCTCGATTTATATATATAGAGAGAGGTACGAGGCGGCATAAGTCAAAACCCTAATACAGAAGTTGAGAGAAATCGAAAATTGATTTGGGATTTTAGGTTTAAATTGGAACGATGTCGTTTTATTTAGCATGACCATTTTACCAAAATAAAAAAATCAAGGTAAAATATATTTGTTTTCAATTTGATGTTGTGTTTCTTTGGCTCAGGCTTGATGTTAGATATTTCATTAAAAATACGAAATCGTGATGATACAAAGAGACAGAACTTAGTTCATGTCTTAACACACAATGTAACAAATATATCTATTTCTTTAGCAAATACATTCCATCTCTAAACTCTAGTTTCTCTTCAGAGACCAAACCAGAAAGAAAGCTCTGAAGCTGTTGCAGAGACTTGTCGTAAGAAGGATCAGCGACACAGAACATCTACACAAACAAAACAAAAAACAGAGCAAAACTGATCATCATCAAGACAAGACAACAACGTTATAAAAATCAGTGTGAAAAAAGGGTTTATATGCCTTTGATGGCTGTACCTTGAGAGTGTTATGGATTCGTTCTAGTGCCATGCTGCCGAAATTTGTGAGCATTCCCATGATGAATTTCTGTAACATTATTGTTGAGAATTGTTTTAGATTTTTTTATATTTCCCAGAGGCAAAATGGAATGAAAGTTTCACTAAAGCATCATGATCACATACCTCGTATATTGTCATTTCTTTGCGAAGTTGGTCTTCCACAGAGGCAATCGATCCTTCGTTCTCTTCATCACCTGCTAAAAGCTCCTCGCTTTCGTTCTTTCCGGAATCAGTTATGGATTCAACAAGCGTATACACACTGCCATTTGAGTCTGTTCCTCTAGATTCTCTTAAAACTCCCTATGTTCAGGAGACTTTACAAGTTAGCTCAATGGTTTAAACGTAAAGCAGATAACTACAATTACAGTACAGTACGTACCTTGCTTATCCAGAAGTTTACTCTTCGGTTTAATGCATCAGTGGGTATCCCAATGGCTGCAGCAAGATCTATAGAGGTCCAACTGAAAGATTTTACATGATTTCAGTAAACTTAGGAAGCAGAAAATATATCCATATAACCATATTTGATTTGATTCTTGTAGTTACCTTTTCTTTTCTTGAAATTGCATGATAATGGCTGCATGAGTAGGGGAGACTGTGAACTGCATAGCTCTGTCTTCAAATTGTAACTCCAACTGAAATTCATCCAAACCATTCAAAGAGGTACTCCGAGACTTACTCCGAGACTCCAAACAAAACACGAATCATTCACTACTAAAACTAAAGTATTTACGCAAAAATCACCTTGACCGAGCCAAGATTTTTCTTCCAAAGTAGTTTACGAGGGGTCTTGATTTCATGATATCTATTGGCATAATCTGATAGCAGCTTGTCAATAGGTCCAGGTAACTCAAGAGGCTCATCCTGAAATTCATCCTCTAATTCAGTGAATGGAAACTAACAAAATAATCTATACCCTTTACGACATAATGAATGAAATATATAAGAAAGAAGAACATATCCGAATACCTGAATTGGTGGCCAGAAGTTTGTTGAAAGTATCGTCGAGGTAAGAATATCAACAGATAGCTCATTCTCTGCTAACTCAGCGCCTAAAAACGAGGAATGGACACAGATACTTAAATAAAAGATTCAGACAAGAACTTACAATAAGATTGAGAACAGTTCAGAAATATAACCTGTTTGAGATGCCTTTTTAATGTTAGTGTTCACTCTCTTAGAATCAATCAGGTCGTTCAGCATTATCTCACATCTTTGCATACTAGCTTCTCCAAAATGGATCTATTGGCATTATAAAAGAAAGTAAAGTTAGATTCAACCATATAGAAACGATCCAATAGTTTGGCAAGATAATCTTTAGAGTGAGAGAAACAAATGGAGATTGCCTTGAGGAGTTCGACAGTGCGTATCTCAGTGTCGATGTCATAATCAGTCTTGTTGAGAAGCTTTTCAGCGAGCATAACACGATATTCATTTACTAGTTGCTCTTTCGATCCAATTATATCAACAAGCATTCCGAGTATGTCTACTTTTCTCTGACTGAGGCTACCTTTTAATGGATCAGCCTCTACAGGATCAGGTTCCCAACTGAGGAAAAATGCAGATTAAGATGTGTCAGAAAAAATCCAATGCCATGAAAGATGATAAAACAAGAAAGAAAATATACAGCAGAAAGGATACCGAGAAGCATTGATCCAGGCTTGCTTATCATCAGTGTGAAAATCATCATCAAAACCAACATTCTCTTGACTTTCTTCATCCCTCATTAACTCTTCAAGAAGACTATCCCCAGGGTTTCCGGAACCATTTGCATTCCCTCCGCTTCCATCCGTAAGCATAGTGACAATACATTTGATGGTGTCTTTCCGGCCACGCAGATAGTCTCTGATTGGCTCACCCACTGCTTCCAGAAATACACCAGCTGGGTCTATTGCTCGAAGGGCTTTAATGGTCGACACATACTGATGCAATATATCAATGGTTGAGGCACCGGCAGTGAGCAAACGGTACTTCAGCGAAGAAATGAAAGATTCAACTAGTTTAGAATGCTGTCCAGTATATTCAAGACACTGTTTTAAGTCTTCAATAGCAGGAGAACTGTTGCATCAACAAAACTGTTATCAGAGGTGCAAGATATTTCAACTTCTTGCAACATTTGAAGTGGGTCTCAAGTGAGATATGTAGGGAGAAAGAGACTACTATAAATACCTCTCAGGATAATCCACAATTATCTCAAATAGTTTGGCTATCCTTAAATCTTGCAGTGTCTCATACGCAAAGTATTCAAGCCGTAATTTCCACCTAACAATTCCTTCGGATGGAGTCACTACTTTAGACAAGCTTGGAGATGGACAACAAGCCAGTGGAGACGTGAGTCCAGACGATGTGGTACCGTAATTTACGGAATCACCAAGATAAGAAAGAAGCGCATTAAGGAACTGAAGAGGAACTGTCTGGAAAGAGAATTTTAATGTCAGGAATATCCAAATCAACAAAACAATCTGATGGTTCAGTGAGAATCTACGCAGAAAAAAAAAAACCTGAATCCATTCTTTTATTGACCCCAAAACAGAAGTCCTGTAATCATCACCAGCTAGATCATGCACTTTCGCCTGGAGTATTACACCACCAAACAGGGTACGAGTTATATATCATATGTATACTAACTACATTTTACTATGTTATAAGTCTAAGTGAAGCAGATGAAATCTCTGACGCATAAAATACCTTAAGAAGCAAAAAAATTGCAGAAGCATAAGCATTTTCGGCCATAGACGTGAATCCAATGCTTCTAAGGTCACGGACCACCTTCCCAATGTTCTTCACCAAACCTTCATGTCTTGAATAGCCTTCATCAACATCCATTTCTCCATTTTTAGATCTCAGCTTCTCGTCCAAATCCATGCAATCACTCTCCTGTTTTGCGATATCATCTTCATCCATGATTGCACTTAGCTCCTCCAGCTTTTCCTTAAAATACCAGTGGAGTATTTCTAAGAACACAGTAAAGAGAGGAAATATATGAGAGTAATGATTGAACAAGTGGCAAAGATATAAAACAAAGTTCCAAGCAAAAATCAGAGTTAGAATTGATCATTGTGATTGAACAGACTACTGCCTCATTGGTTGCTTGATTCAAACCACATCGAAAACCAACAAAGAACAAGCTATCAAAGATGCGTATACCAGGAAAATGCTGAGGAAGAGTAGTCATCAGAGTTGAAGACAACATTGACCGGAATCTCGCAAAAAGTTGAACTCTTTCTGCATCTGCGTTCTGTGTATCCTCTGATGACTCTTCTTTAAACGACTGCATAGCATGAACCACTATGGACAAGCACTTCTCATGATACTGCTTCTCTATAGATATCTCTTCCAAAGCCTTGCATAAGACTTCCTGAATCTCATCTCCATAATCCTGTCAACAAGCACCCATTTCAGTCAAAACTTACGAATTGAAAAACGAAAACTGTCAAATTCAGAATATTGAGGCATCAACCAAGCGTTGTGTCCACTTACATTATGTTTCTTCTCGCTGTAAGCGTCAAAATGATGCCAAAAACTGGATGCACCACTCTTTTCAAAAGCTTGCTGAAACAAATAAATGTTGTCACAAAGCTCATTAGACAAATAAACATTCTCCAACTGTTACACTTCACAGATATCTCACAACAGAGCAGATACTAACTAGAACAAGCTAATCAGTTAAGATAGACTAAAATCTTAACACAGTCAAAAGTTCTCTGTTTTTTAATACCTCGAGTGATCTGAGGAAGTGGTCACGAACAAGAGAATCAAGCCCGTGTTTGCAAAGAGTATATACATGAGACACGAGCTCTTGCTCGACTGAGGAATCTCCGGCGCCGGCAATGAGAGACTCCACAGTAGTGAAAAACCCATCGTAGCTTTCTGTAATTTCCTGAATCGCATCGTCTGATAGAGTTTCTAGAATCCCTAGATTGCACTCAGATGAGCCTAAAAATTCCATCTTTTTTCACTACAAAACTTCCTAAAACCCTAATTAACTTAACGACAGCCCTGAACCCAATCTCAATCACTTCACGAAGAATCAATCAAGGGAACCCATTACAGAACAGGACTGAGATTTAGTAATTACAAAATGAAGTTCTGGGAGAGAAAAGTGAACCCCTAAACCGAAAACCACTTGAAGATTCATGGAGTTACGTTCGTTGGATTCATGCTACGACGCGAAATTTGCTTTCTTTCTCCTTGAATTTCGATTCTATATGGCTTTTAATTGAAGATCGAATTTCAAAATTTTCTCTTTGTTTCATTTCACTTTCAGCTTCTGGCTAAAACCTCTGACGAGTGAAAAATCTATCTTTAAACCGGAAAGAACCGGATCGGTTAACATTTGTTTGAGTATCCATAACCATAACATTTCGTTCTATTATATTTGCATAATGCGATTTAGTAAATAAAACTTGGTTCGCTCTAATCTACTTTACAAAAACTAATTAATTACTCTGCAAGTCATGCTCAGTTTTCTCGGCTTTGACAAATGTCAATTTCTAAAGGGAAGTAATAAAGATGACAAAAACAAAAAAAAAGACCCAACGTGCTCTTGATTGACCATCAAAGTCAAAACTCATAAACGTATGCTGCTTAAAACGTAGGCTCCATTCTCATTTCTCTGTTTTCTACTCAGCAAAACTTTTATAGTTCAAAAAGTTGGGAATATCCGAGTACAAAGATACCACCTTTCACAAAATCAGATCATCGAATCTAGGGTTTGAATCGACATGTCGGAAGAGAAAGTCGTCGCTGTGATTATGGTCGGAGGTCCGACCAAAGGTGAACAACATCTATTCGATTTCAATTCATTGTTGGATCTCGACTTCTAATTTTCAAATGAGATTGATTTTGGTATTTTTGTTAATGTGGATCGATTTAGGAACTCGTTTTCGTCCATTATCGTTCAATACACCAAAACCGTTGATTCCTTTGGCTGGGCAACCCATGATTCATCATCCTATTTCTGCTTGTAAAAAGGTTTGTTTTTTTTATTCTTTCTCCAAGTTGTCAACTTTGAAATGTTTGATCTTTGAGAAAATTAAAACCTGGGTTTGTTTGCAATTTGGAAAAGCTTGTTATTGAATGATTTGTGATCTCCAAGTTGTGAAATTTTCTTGTTACTTTAGTTGGGAAAGTTGTCAACTTTAAAATGTTTGATTGCTCATAGCAAGTTTTCATTTGATATTGTTTGGAGGGCAGATATCGAATCTGGCTCAGATTTTTCTGATTGGATTTTACGAGGAAAGAGAATTCGCTTTGTATGTTTCTTCGATATCTAGCGAGCTGAAAATACCAGTGCGGTACGTTTATAGCACTTGTGTGTGTTTCTTTAGTTTTTGGTGTTCAATGTTTTTAAACCCTCTCATCTTTGTGTTCTTGTTTTGCAGATACTTGAAAGAAGATAAGCCTCATGGTTCGGCTGGTGCGCTTTATTACTTTCGAGATAGGATCATGGAAGAAAAACCGGTTTGATCTCTAACGAAAATTCCCAAAATTTGTTATTGTTTTCATTCATGTGTTCAGCTGCTTACACTTCTTTGGTTTTTATTTTGTCATTTTGAACAGTCACATGTTTTCCTCTTAAACTGTGATGTTTGCTGTTCTTTCCCTCTTCAAGACATACTCGGTAATCTTTGCTTTTAAATCTTGATTCTGCTTCATCATTTTTCTTTTCTTACTTTGATGTAACTTCACATTTTTTTGGCAGACGCTCATCGAAGATATGGTGGGGTTGGAACTATGCTAGTAATCAAGGTTCGATGTCTTTGATCGTTTTTTTTTTTTAACTTTGTTTAAAGGAAACAAATGTCAAGATCAAAGGATTCATGAATTTCATTTTCTTGCTTCAGGTTTCTGCAGAAGCAGCGAGCCAATTTGGAGAGTTGATAGCTGATCCTGATACTAAAGAACTCTTGCATTATACAGAGAAACCCGAGACATTCGTAATTTTCTGCTAAAAATTTCTTGTTTTCCTATTTGCTTCACTGGTTCTGGACTTTGTTGAGCTTATAAGGTTTCACTCTATGCAGGTCAGTGACTTGATAAACTGTGGTGTCTATGTGTTTACTTCAGATATATTCAAAGCCATTGAAGGAGTATACGAACAAATGAGAGAGACATGTGAGTATTCATTTTTGGCCTATGTTAGAGACCTCTTGCACTATTTTCGACTAGAGATTTTTTCATTTTATAATCACTTGACTTTATACTAATTTGGCAGCTAGCAACTACCAGATATCGAATCACTTTCTATCTGCTACAAGGTCTGTTCCTGCGGATTTTGTGAGATTAGATCAAGATATATTGTCACCACTTGCTGGAAAGAAGCAACTATACACATATGAGAATAAGGACTTTTGGGAACAGATTAAGACTCCAGGGTAAGATTTGCTCCTGATAATGGTTTAGCCTCTCAAACTCTCTTTTAACTCCTGTGCTAACAAATTGTTTAAAAACAACAGGAAATCTTTGAAATGCTCAGAATTATATCTTTCTCAATTCCACCAAACATCGCCTCATCTTTTGGCTTCAGGAGATAGTACTAATAAGAAACCGATGATAGTTGGTGATGTTTATATTCACCCATCTGTAAAAATACATCCAACCGCAAAGGTAACTTTCTTTTACTATCAATAAATCTTCTTTTATCATCTCATGTAAATTTGCAAATGGCACACTCTCTTAAAAATCTTTAATTCCTTGGAACATCAAGATTGGTCCAAACGTGTCAATCTCAGCAAACGTTCGTGTTGGACCTGGTGTTAGGCTTATTAGCTGCATAATCTTGGACGATGTTGAAATCAAGGTAAAATATTTGAACATGCTTTTAATCTCTGTCTGATTACAAATCCAAAAAGAAGTGTGTTTTGTTCTAATCTGGTTTTGAATGCCGGACAATGCTGTTGTTATAAACGCAATCATCGGTTGGAAATCTTCGATAGGTAGATGGTCAAGAGTTCAAGCTAGTGGAGATTACAATGAGAGGCTTGGGATTAGCATTCTTGGTAATGTTCATTGCCTCTTATTAAAACTTTTATATTCAGCTAGCGATTTGCTTAGTTTTTCTGATACATGTTGTTGTTTCTTCAGGCGAGGCTGTGACTGTAGAAGATGAAGTTGCAGTCGTAGGAAGCATTGTTCTTCAGAATAAGACTCTTAATGTCAGTGTTCAAGACGATATAATCTTATGAGCTATCGCGATGATCATAGCTCAGATTTTCTTTTTCTTGATAATCCGAACACAAGAAGAGTTACAGACCTAGAAGATTTGTAAAACTCTCATTGTTATTTTGGTTTTATATCGGGCTGGGCACAATTAATTGGTACTTATCCCCTACTCGTTACTTGACCCGTATTTGCTCCGTAAAACCAAATACTTGTTTTGATCAAGTTTTGATCAAGTCGAGTGTCAAGTATTTTAAGAAAATTACTTACAAGTATAAGGCAAGTATCAAGTATTAAAAAAAGAATTACTACTTAATTTTGTTGACTCGTTACTTGTTTCTAATCTCTGATTTTTTTAAAAAAATTTTATCCCACATCGATTATAACATAAAAAATAAAAGAAGAATCTTCTTATAAAAAAAATAAATAAGTAGTTCGACTTCAATTATATGGTTCGAATTTTTTTTTATTTTTTTAGTATTTTACTTATATTTTTACATGTATTTTTACAAATAACAGGACAAATAAGTAACTTGCAAATAATAAATTTTTTGATAAATACTTGAAATTGCAAATATTTAATATTAACGGATCAAGTATAATAAATACAAGTATCAAATATACCAAAAATGGTAAATACTTGTCCGTGCCCGGGCCTAGTTTTATATACAAGAATCCATGAAGGCAAGACCGTTTTGAAGACTGTTTCTTCTTCTTAGCTTTTGTTTCTTTTTATGTGGGCCTAAATTGGGCTTGAAATTAAATACGGCTGAGTCGCAAAGCCGGAAAAGTAAAACCGAGATATAAAATAGCCACTTCTTATATTTTTCAGGCATAACTCGTCGTTTGATTCTCTACAACAATTCTTTAGGGTTTATTGATTGTGCAAAGAGGAAGAGAGCGATCTCAAATCGACTTTAATGGCGGACGACGATTACAACGAAGTCGATGATCTGGGGTATCCTCTCTTTCTCTCTCTCCCTCGGTTTCCTATGTCTGTATCAGTTTGCGCTCGTTTTCAAAGGATTCTGTTTTCTTCTCGACGAACCGTAAACGATTGAGTTAATTAGATTGGTTATTGTCGAGATTGAAAGTTTATCCATGGTTTCTTCGATGAATTTGTGCTTTATGTGATAAAAAATGTATGTTCGGCAAAAATAAAAACCCTAATTTCGTGGTCGATTTATAGCGAAAGAGTTTATTTCGTGACCCCTGAGTTTTTCCATATGTTAGCGTTCGTTAAAAAAGAGAAATATGTTTGCTAGTTTATATAACTTTGCTTAAATATTCATTCATCAAACAATTTCTTTCTCGCTGGTAAATATGGTTTCCTTCTCCTGGAATGACTACATAATTGAAGCTGTTTTGTTTCTATGGTTAAGCCATATAGTTGATTCAATTTGTTTTGCTACTGCAGTTATGAGGACGAGCCAGTGGAGCCTGAAATAGAAGTAAGTTCTTCTTTGTAGAAAAGATATTGATGTTGCTTATTAGAATCTTCTGTTTTCTGATTAGTTTTAATGTGTAGGAAGGAATTGAGGAAGATGCTGATATGAAGGAGAACGAGGATATCAACGGCGAGCCTCTTGAAACAGATGATAAGGTCGAAGCCGAGCCCGTACAGCGTCCACGTAAAACGTCCAAGTTTATGACTAAGTATGAACGTGCACGTATCCTCGGTACTCGCGCTCTGCAAATTAGGTCTGGTTCTCCACCATTGTCTACCATTGATTCATGTCTCTTAAGTTTGTCAAGAATTTATCTTTACGTTTTATAAAACTCGATAATAGTTAGTTCTACTGAGAACAGTGTTTGTTTTATTCCATACGGATACTTTTACGGGTCAATTATACTCTCACCTTATAGTTTAATAAGAACCTATTTTCATGTGTCATATAACTTGATGAGTTTACTCAATTAAACTGAGAAAAATCTTTGTTCTATTTCATAGAATAATTAAGTAATCTCGAAATGTTTGATTCTCTTACTACCACTCACTTATCCTTTCATCTTACACCTTATGTTTGTTGAGAATTTATCATCTTGTGTTATAACAGTTTTTTTTGCTCTTTCACATAATTGTTACGTTGGCTTGAAAAGTTTGATTTTTCTACTGGCACTCACTTATCCTCTCATCATATGTTTTAAGTTTGTCTTCATGTGTTAGAAAACTCATTTACTTAATTTAACTGGTTCTGTTTCATCTAACCTTCAAGTTGTCTCGAGAAGTTTGATTCCTTATGCTTTTTTTTTACTGATACAGCATGAATGCTCCTGTCATGGTCGAGCTAGAGGGTGAGACTGATCCTCTTGAGGTACTAAGCTACTTATAGTTGCAGTCACTTTTCCTTTCTTGTTGTTCTTTCCTGGATATTTGAGCTAACTTACGATATTGGCTCCAAGATTGCTATGAAGGAGCTTAGGCAAAGGAAGATACCATTCACTATTAGACGCTATCTGCCTGATGGGAGGTGAGTTTGCGTTACAGGTCATATGGAATTTCTTTGTCGATGATTCTCTTCACTCACTTGACATGTTTCGTTTGTTGTGTCTTGTTAATGATTATGAATCAGTTTTGAGGAATGGGGAGTGGATGAATTGATCGTTGAAGACTCATGGAAGCGTCAAGTTGGTGGTGATTGATAATTTGGTTTACATGTATTTTGCAAGCCGAACGATGATACGTGCTTTTGAAACTTGGTCAAATTTTAGGTGTGTAACGTCTACTTCCGGTTCAGTTTTTGGTCCGTAAATGTTGCAAACCAGAATCCTCTCGAGCTGATATCAATGGTTTTCCAATTCGGTTCATTCTATTGGCATATTATAATATATGTAAAAAGCTATATATAATAAGTATGTCAAATCATATGAAAATGCTCTATTTTGACAAAAGAGACCCATTCCCGTTGTAATTATTTTATAATCGAATTTTATTTTATTTTTAACAAGGAAAATCAATTGTTTATGACTCAAGAAATACTTGGCGGTGATGAACCGGTTAGACAATTAATTAAATGTAAAAGTCCAGGGATTGAAGGTTGGGTTTAGGGTTTCTTCTGAAAAACCCTACGCATCATCATCTTCATTAGCTCGTCTCCCGCTCTTGCTCTGTCTATATCACATCGGAATATTTCCATATATAGCTCTTCGATAAACATAAACCAATTTGTATATATTCCTTTTCCTTACCACATTAGGTTTAAACCTCTTCTTCTTATGAATGTATAAATATATATGACCTTATGGTCAATAATAATAATATTCAGTTCATAATTTCTCAGCAATCGATTCAAGTGTAATTCTCTCACCTGGGTTGCGTTCAAATTTTCCTCTTTTGCTCTTCCCAAATCGTCTCTGCCTGTGCTACTTCTGACTCAGTTCTCTGCTGTTTCGATCAATTTTGTGATTCAATTTGTACGTTTGATTTTGAATTGATTCTGTTTGGACAGGCACTGTCACGGAATGGCACTGTCACTGTCAAGGAGAGACCGTCTTCTCGAGATCGAGGTAGAAGTACGTAAATGGTGGGAAGATGAGGACGTATTCAGGGCTGAATCACGCAAGGAACTTGCAAAGAAACCTGGAGAAAAGTTCTTCTCAACTTTCCCTTTCCCTTATATGAATGGTTATCTACATATTGGGCATGCCTTCTCACTCTCCAAGGTTGATTTTGCTTCTGCTTATCATAGACTGAGAGGTGCTAACGTGCTTCTTCCGTTTGGTTTCCACTGTACTGGTGCTTCTGCGGATAAGCTGTCTCGTGAATGGTTTCCTCCATTGGCTGTTGAAGACCTCAGGGCATATGGATTGGGTTGTGACTGGAGATGGTCATTCGTTACAACTGATGTGAATCCCTTTTTCGATTCCTTTGTGAGGTGGCAGATGAGGAAGTTGAAAGCTATGGGAAAGATTGTCAAAGACCTTAGGTACACGATCTTCTCGCCTTTAGATGACCAGCCTTGTGGTGATCACGAACGTGTTACTGGTGAAGGTGTTGAGCCTCTAGAGTATACTCTTATTAAGATGGAAGTATTGAAGCTGTTTCCTCTGAAACTGGGTCCTTTGGAAGGGAAGAAAGTGTTTTTGGCTGCAGCTACTTTGAGGCCTGAGACCATGTATGGACAAACAAACGCATGGGTATTGCCTGATGGGAAATATGGAGCTTATGAAATCAATGAAACAGGTGATGATGTCTTCATCCTTACAGAGAGAGCTGCACTCAACCTTTCCTACCAGAACTTGTCAAAGATCCCTCAGAGGCCTTCCTGCTTGGTTGAGTTGACCGGTTATGATCTGATTGGCCTCCCTCTGAGGTCTCCTCTGGCGGTGAACGAGATCATCTATGCTCTTCCCATGTTAACCATTCTGACCAACAAAGGTACTGGCATCGTCACCAGCGTGCCTAGTGTTGCCCCTGATGATTACATGGCTTTACATGATCTTAATGCAAAGCCTAAGCTTCGAGCAAAGTATGGTGTGAAAGATGAGTGGATACCCTCTGATGTTGTGCCGATTATCAACATTCCGGAGTTTGGGGATAAGGCTGCCGAGAAAGTCTGCTTGGATCTGAGAATCAAGAGTCAAAAGGACAAGGCAAAGCTCGCAGAGGCTGAGAGGTTGACGAACCTGAAAGGATTCACCGAAGGAACAATGCTTGTTGGAGAGTTTGTTGGTAGGAAAGTTGAAGAAGTCAAGCCCATTATCAAGTTAAAGCTCTTAGCCTCTGGCGAGGCAGTTATATACAGTGAACCCGAGAAGCCGGTGATGTCAAGGTCGGGTGATGAATGTGTCGTGGCCCTTACAGATCAGTGGTACATAACGTACGGCGAGTCAGAATGGCGTAAAATGGCTGAGGATTGCTTATCAAACATGAATCTCTACTCTGAAGAAACAAGGCATGGCTTTGAGCACACTTTGAGCTGGCTCAATCAGTGGCCTTGCTCACGGTCTTGTGGTCTTGGAACTCTTATTCCATGGGATGAAGAGTTCCTTGTGGAATCCTTATCTGATTCCTCTCTTTACATGGCCTATTACACAGTTGCTCATTTCTTCCACGATGGAGACATGTATGAAGGCAGCAAGTCTTTGATCCGCCCTCAGCAGATGAATGCTGAAGTTTGGGAGTATCTCTTCTGTGATGGTCAGTACCCAAAATCATCAGACATTCCTTCTGATGTTTTGAGTAAGATGAAGCAGGAGTTTGACTACTGGTACCCGCTGGATCTTCGAGTTTCAGGAAAGGAACTTATCAAGAACCATTTGACGTTTTTCATCTACAACCACACTGCACTAATGGCGAGACGTAACTGGCCACGCGGCATCAGATGCAACGGTCACATTACCCTCAACTCTGAGAAAATGTCAGAGTCAACCGGCAATTTCAGAACCCTGCGTGAGGCCATGGAAGAATTCTCTGCTACTGGTACAAGGTTTTCTTTGGCTGATGCAGGTGGTGGCGTCGACGATGCGGATTTCTCATATGAAACTGCAAACGCTGCGTTTCTGCGTCTGACAAAGGAGCTCACATGGATGGAACAAGTTATGGCTGCTGGTGAATTCTCTCTGAGAACAGGCCCTCCATCTACATATGCTGATAAAGTGTTTGAAAACGACATGAACATTGCTATCAGATTGACTGAAAAAGCCTACAAAGATTGTTTGTTTAAGGAGGCACTTAAGAATGGGTTTTACGAATTGCAAGCTGCTCGAGATGAGTATAAACTCTCTTGCGGCAGTGGCGGCATGAACCATGACTTGATACTGCGCTTTATGGATGTGCAAACACGCCTCATTGAACCAATCTGTCCCCAGTTTGCAGAATATGTGTGGAGGAAAGTTTTGAAGAAACAAGGCTGTGTGGTAACGGCAGGCTGGCCAGCATCAAACGAGCCAGATTTGGTTCTGCAAGCTGCTAACAAATATTTGCAAGATTCTATCGTCTTCTGAACCAGCTAACACGTTGTTTTGCACCTGATGCAGAGATACACGCAGAACTAGCGGAGGTATTGCATTGGGATAGACAATCAGAAAACTTCAAGGAGATTCAGAAGCTCTGCATGCCTTTCCTTAAACACAAGAAGGACGAGGCGATAGCTCTTGGCGCCCAGGCTTTAAACTTGAGGCTACCTTTTGAAGAGATTCAAGTCCTTGAGAGTAACTTGGACTTGATCAAGCGGCAGCTTCGTCTTGAAGAGGTTGAAATATACTCTGCAAGTGACCCTAATGGTGTTGCTAAAGCTGGTCCACGTGCTTTGCTCCTGACGCAGAATCCTCCATCTCCGGGCAGTCCAACCGTCTTCTTTGTCAACAGCTAAATCATCTCAGGAAACTGTTGTAAATAGCATTGTTTTCTTCACTTAATAGCTAAACCCTTAGAGAGGTTTGAATCAGACATAAAATTTTAGTTTTTTTGGAACACTATTTACATCTCGGTTATCTTTTTTGCGGCCTCTCTGTTTTTATTTGTTGTATATATTTTTTTTTTCTAAATGAATTCACAATTTTAGCATTTTGACAAGAGGCATTTGTGTTTGTATATTAGGGAAAAAAAATCATACAGAGTAAATTAAAAATGATTTAGTAAATCAATAATGTGACTTTTTATTATAGGAAAATGATTCTTTCATGTAAACTTAGACGAAAATAAACGAAATTTTAAAATGTTTTTATAGAAATCTTGAGGTCTACAACAACAGAATAATTGGAATTCGAAAATGATTTTTGGTTTTAGGTTGATTATTAATTTGGTTCCGGTTAAATTCGGTTAACTTAAACCAAACGGATTAAATTTTGGGATTACCCACTCCCACCGAACAACGAAATGTATTTTCACAATTCTCGCGGCGACTCAGCAGAAGAGTCAAGCTTCGGCTTCAACAATGGCGGATCACCACCACCACCATCATCATCATCGTCATCATCATCATCATCAACAGCATCGACCCAATCGTCTTTCAGTGCCTCAAAGAACCAATACAACAATCGGAAGAGCTTATCCTTCTTTCCCTTACACTCCGACTCCAACCCCTTCAAAAACCCGTCTCAGATCGATCCATGGAACCACTAAATCTTCAATCTCCTTTCTCTTTCTCATCCTCTTCTCCTTGCGATCTCTCTACTCGCTCTTACCTTTCCTTCGTTCTTCTCCTTCGTTCTCTCTGTTCCCTTTCTCATTCCTCGTCTCTCTCCTCTCTTTCGTTTTATCTCTTGCTTTCACTCTCTTCTCTGCGTTCTCTCCGTCCAAAAAAGACCCATTTCTCCGGCAAAACCGCGCCGTTTTCTCGATTTCATCTCTCTCCTCATCTCAAATCAAGCTCATACTCGCTAAATCGGTTTTTCTAGCCGTTGTTTTCCTCCTCCGTTTCCAGGCTCTCCGTTATTGCGGCGCAGCTGCTATGATCTTAGCTGAGCTCTCCGGTACAGTCTCCGCCAGGGTTTTATTGGAGTCTCGGAATCGATTTTCCGGCGATAATGGTGGAACTGGATCACCTAAGGTTCGTGGGTTTTGCATCTTGTTTGCTGGATTGATGTTGTTATCGATCAGCTGGGATCGTATCGATTGTTTCCCTTTCTCTTCGTCATCTGTCGAAAGTTGGGGTTTTTGGATTTACCCCAAAGAGAATTGCTTGAGAATTTGGCCTATGTTGCTTCCGTTTCTTTCTGGGTTTTTGGGTTGCTATGAGAAAGTTTCCATGAACTGGGTCGAGATCAAGCAACTTGATCAGAAACGAGTTCGATTGATATCATTGTTTCTAACCACGGTATTGTTGTTCCCACTTGCTATCTGGAGTTTCCTCTTCTCTGGAAGTGATGAAGTTGGTGTCTCGATTGGGAATTTGGGTTGGCCTTTAGCTAACACTGTTGTATTTGGAGTACTGTTGAGTGAGAATTACAACGATGATAAGTTTTCTTCGAGCTCCAAGAAAGACTCGGTGAGGGAGTTTTTAGTTACGTTTCTATGCACCATAGTATTGGAGCTCTTTTACTTTCCTGAGCTTTCTCTTTGGGGATTGTTGTTGTGTGGTTTGTTGCTTTACGTTGCTGTTAGAGATTTAGACTCCGTGTCTTCAGATTATCAGGAGATTGGCATGGAATCACCCGAGTCGTTTTCCACCATGTTTATGAAGCCTATCCGTCACGTTTTGAGCGAGAAGAAGTCCAGGAAGATTGCGTTGTTTCTCTTGATCAACACCGCATATATGGTTGTAGAGTTTGTGGCTGGATTCATGAGCAATAGTCTTGGATTGATCTCAGACGCTTGTCATATGTTGTTTGATTGTGCTGCTCTGGCAATTGGGCTTTATGCGTCTTATATCTCCCGTCTTCCTGCAAACCATCAGTTCAACTATGGCCGAGGAAGATTTGAGGTGCTTTCTGGTTATGTTAATGCCGTGTTTCTCGTTCTTGTTGGTGCTCTGATTGTGCTTGAGTCAATTGAAAGAATCTTGGATCCTCAGGAGATCTCTACGAATAGTCTCTTGGTTGTTTCCGTTGGAGGGCTTCTCGTGAATGTTGTCGGGTTGATCTTTTTCCATGAGGAGCATCATCACGCTCATGGCGGATCCGGTTGCACACATTCTCACTCGCACCAGTCCCATAGCCATAAACATGAGGAGCATCATGAGCACGATCATCATCATCATTCCCATAGCCATAAACATGAGGAGCATCATGAATGCAACCATAGCCACGACCATGAACATGACCATCAGCATCACGAAGGCAACCACAGCCACGGACACAACCATGACCATCAGCATCATTCTGATCACAAACCCGGAAAAAGCGAAAGCAAGGAGCATCGCCACATTGACCATAACATGGAAGGAATCTTCCTTCATGTCTTAGCAGACACGATGGGGAGCGTTGGAGTTGTGATATCGACACTCTTGATCAAATACAAGGGCTGGTTAGTTGCAGATCCAGCCAGCTCAATCTTCATCTCCATACTCATCATCGCCTCAGTCATTCCGTTGCTCAGAAACTCTGCAGAGATCCTACTGCAGAGAGTCCCCAAGGCTCACGAGCACGACCTGAGAGAAGCCATGAAGAGCATCCTTAAGACTAAAGGAGTTTGCAGTATCCAAAGACTACATGTGTGGAGCTTCACAAACTCAGACGTTGTGGCTACTCTCCATCTCCTTGTATCAGCTGATTTAGACAAGACGGATACTAAGTTGCAAGTCTCGCGTTTGTTAGAAGATGCAGGAGTAAAGGATTTGACTTTGCAGGTGGAATCTGTTAACTCATAGCAATTGAAATAGTCTTGTGAGTTGTTACTGAACAAAAAAGCTTTTATTCAATGTTTTTAGATTATATGTTTCATTGAAGCTTTATAAGTCGTTAAAGATATATATGGGATATGACTCTGCATACATGTATGAATACTGATTCTAAACCGAAAACAAAAGTTCTAACTTCAAACCTCAAAACAAAATCTCTACAAATGCATCTGTTTTGCAGCTAAATCCATATAATAAAAAAAAAGATAGCAGGAATCCAGACGCATAAACAACTTCAATCTACGTGGGCAGCTACTTCATCAGGTAATTGCTTCATAATCATAGCAGTTTGTTATCAGAGGAATCTAGCAGTTAGGAATGGTGTAGAGAGATGGTAGAGTAGATGTCTGAAGTAGACTGGTCGCGTCACATTGTACACCATAGCTTGAAAACATATCTGAAAGGTCTTGAGAGAAGCTAGTGTTACTGACCATATAACCACAAGGGTCCTGAGAACCAGAACAGAGCGCATCTGAGACTGTGTTTGAGAGACAAGGATCTTGAACGTTGTTACTGGTGCTACCACCACTCATACACATGTTCTGATCGCCACCATTAGGCTCTTGCCGCATCAAGTTATTCAGCCCGTAGTGATTTGCAAATCCTTGTACTGTTGAGTAACCTTGTGTGTTGGAGACGCAAGGATGTGGAAAGTCTTTGCTGCTGATGTTACCCATTGACATGTTCTGATCACAACCATAAAGCTCTTGATTCTTCAACCTAGATTCTTGAACTGCCGAGTAATCACCTGTGTAACTGGTCAACTGATTGAGAGTTGATGCAGAGAGTGGGATTTGAGAGAGAGTTGCATCTTCATGGTTATATATAAGTAGCGAGAACTTGCTAGGGTTCAAGGATTGGGTCTGATGATGATCTTGATGGTTCAGAGACATTGGACGAGTTCTTAAACCCCTGTGATCCTCCAAGTTCGTCTTTTTCTGGTTCTGTGCCTCGAGAAAACGAAGCCTTTCTTGCAATTTAGAGTAATTTAGTTCCAAGGACTGAATCAGTTGGGAGATTTGGTCGGGAGAGTAATGATCAGAGATTGGATACTTTAATTCATCCCTCTTCGTCTTCTTCGTCAAATTCGCCATCTTCGTCTTGTTCTTCTCGAGAAACCCATAAAGATCGACGCTTTTCTTGCGTCTCTTGTCTTCGTCTAACTGACTATACCTCTGGGCAATGTCTCTCACTTTCTGTCTATCCTCCGGCCATGTCTTCAATTCTCCGTCTGGTCCGTAATGGATGACGCAGACTTCGACATCACAGAGAGTGGAAAGCTCGTAAGCTTTCTTGAAGATGGTGTCGAGTCTTTTGGTCATACTTGTTGCAGCGAGTGAATTAGAAGCAGAACTGGAACAAGAGGAAGGAGGAGATGATCGCATGGTGATTTTAGAAGACGAAGACGAACTGAAACAAGAGGAAGAAGGAGAAGATCGCATGGTGATTATCTTGTTGATTTCACACGCTCTGGCTTTTCTCGTTCTCGCACAAGGACAAGAGAAGCACGAAGAGTAAGCAGAAGACAAATAATGAAATTGAGGGTGAAGAAACTGTGTGAATTGGATATATTTATAGATTCTTTATTTTCTTTGTTGACCCCAACGGTAAAAACACGCGTTTAACTCTCTCTCTCTCCCACACATCCGTTATTCATTATGAGATCATTAATTAAAGTGATTACACAGAAACTGGAGTGATCAGATATTTTAGATTGGGAAAATTGTCAAAATCATCATATTGTGTTGACTGAAAATTTAAAACCTGAACTTATATTGATTTGGCCAAAACATACATGTCGTTAAATATTTAAACGGATTGATTAAACAGAATTTAACAACCGTTAAAAACCACGTTTAATTGATACAATGTCGTTTTACTTCTCTTTCCTTAAACCCAAAATCGATAAAAAAAATTTCAATTTCTGCTTCTAACCCTAAATCCCCAAATCAATTTTCAAACTCTCCGCATCGATTTCTTTCAAAATCTCGATTTCTCTCTTAGAGATGACCAAAAAAAGGAAGAACAAGCAGCTGCCAACCCGATGGAGTAAGCGTGCTACAACGAGCAGAGCAGAAGAAGAGCCGCGTGATATTGGAGCTGAAGAAGAAGAATTCATCACAATACGAATTCGAGAGCACCCTCAAGCTCCTGAACATCTCGAGCCTGTCAATACTGAAGAGAGTCGAAGTAAAACGGTTAATGATGAAGAAGATCAAAGTGCAGAAGAAGATCAAAATGATGGAGATAAAGGAATCCAACACGAAGGAGAGGTCGATAGTGAAGATGATTGCAGGGTTACTGGTGATGAGGATTGTGATGCAATTGATGATGCAGGTGATGAAGATGCCGCTGCAGACGATGATGAAGAAGATGCTGCAAACGATGATGAAGAAGCTGCTGCAAACGATGATGAAGAAGTTGCTGCAAACGATGACCACGGATTAGGCGTCGAAGAAGAAGGAGAGTTAGAAGAAGACTTTCGAGAGGTTGTGAGAGATGAACCAGAGAGTGATGCGGACAGTGGAGATGATATATGGGATGATGAGAAGATTCCTGATCCTAAGTCTGATGATGAAGACGAAGAAGAAGATCCTGAAGAGGCAGAGCGTAGAGCAGAGCGTAGAGCTAATGAAGATGCAGATGAGTTGCTAGTATTGGGGAAAACTTTCAATTCTCCAGAAGATTTCAAGCTTACAGTTCTAAGGTACTCTCTTAAGACCAGATACGACATTAAATTATACAGATCTCAATCAAAGAGGATCGGTGCAAAGTGTTTTGACACTGATATGGACTGTCCGTGGAGAGTTTATTGTTCATACGAGAGGAGAAGACATAAATTTCAAATTAAGGTGTATGTGGATGAGCATATATGCGTTAGATCAGGTTACTCCAAGATGTTGAAGCGATTAACAATCGCTTGGTTATATTCAGAAAGGCTGAGATTGAATCCAAAGTTTACAAAACAGGAGATGGTTGCTGATATTAAGATTCAGTACAATTTAGAAGTGACTGAAGACCAGTGTGCAAAGGCAAAGACAAAAGTAATGAGAGAAAGGAAGGCGAGTCATGAGAAACATTTTTCTCGTATATGGGACTATCAAGCTGAGGTTTTTCAGCGGAATGAGGGAACTAAGTTTCAGATGTTACTTTTTGAGTTTAGAATTGTTGTCTCACTTTCAGGTTTTATGTTATGACTATTTGATGATGCGTGTGTTGAATTGTTCTCTACAGATCCTATTTTTTTAGAAAAACTTACTTGCAGGGTTATAAACAAACCAAATATAGAACATGACGTTGATTAGATTACAAAAGTTTCATTGCATAAGACAATACATAAACAAACCACGAAAAGCTACGACACTAACTCAAAGAAAATATACTAGTAACCAAGAACAATATTCATGTCTTTTGGTTTACCAATCATCAAGTAGACAACAGCAATGAACATCAAAAATAGACACACAAAACACAATCTGATCAAGAGTTTGCCATTCTGGATTTTCTTTTTACTGCACATCACATTTTCCTCCAATTCTTTGATTGTATCCTTTAGCTCTACAACCACCGATTTCACATCTTCAACCTCCTCATACACAGAATCTTCCACCCACTTGAACAAATGTCCCTAGTTTGACAACAAAACAACACAATAACACAAGAACACAACAACTGTCGTTATCGATTCTATGTCGATAAAGCTTGGGAAAGTTGACCCACATTATCAACTTCATACCAAATTAACACATACCTTTCGTTTTGTTATGCAGCGGAAGAAAGGTCGTCCTGGATTTTCTTGAGTTTTAGATGTGTATATTGTCACCTCCGATCCACACATACATTTCGACGGAAACCCACGGTCGACACAAACAATACATTGCTCAGAACTGGTACTCATTGAGATAGGAGAAGGAAAATTCAGAGAAGAAATCGATGTGTGTGTGTGGAGATTTAGAGCTTGAGAATGTTTGAAAATTGATTTGGGGATTTAGGGTTAAAAACAGAATTGGGGATTTTTGGTCGATTTTGGAGTTAAAGAAGAAGAAGGTCGATTTTGGGTTTAAAGAAGGAGAAGTAAAACGACGATGTATCAATTAAACGTGGTTTTTTAACGGTTGTTAAACTCTGTTTAATCAATCCGTTTAAGGATTTAACGACATGTCTGTTTTGGCCAAGTCAACATAAGTTCAGGTTTTAAATTTTCAGTCAACATAATATGATGATTTAAATGGTCTTCGTCATAGTTCATGGTTTTTTTGGCCAGTTTTTGAAAGTTCATGCTTTTTTTGACAATTTTCCCATTTTAGATTCGATTTCCATTTTGTGTATATTTCCTTAATTTTATTATTTGTAGCCGTTTCGGAACGTAATTCCTAAGAAAATAAATGATTTACTTAACTTTTTTTCTCTCTCTCTTTGGTTTGATTTTATTCTATTTCGATCGTTTAAACAAAAAAAAGAATTAATTGCCAAATTGCCATAAATTGGAAGGCAATGATCTGAGCTGCCATAATTCAATCTAGATGCCATAAGTGATGTGTAATTCCGAAAATACCCTTAATGAAAAGGGATTGTGACATTTTTGATTTTATCTCATTTTTCCTATTTTTCGAATTTTCGTTTTATTTTAATGGAAATTAATTATTAAATGAATTTCAATTTTTTATTTTATCTTCTCTCTCCTCCGCTCCTCTCATCCTCTCCTCTCCTCTCCTCTCTCCCCTCTCTTTCTCGATTCGAGAATTGAATCATTCGGATTTGAGCTCATTGAAATCCTGGAGCGAAATATCTGGCCGGGTTGAAGTAACCACTGCGTCGTTCTCATCTGCACTTGTCTTCGTCTTCTTCTAGCGTCTTGAAGCTCGATTCCAGAGTTATCAGGTAAGAAAAAAAAATTTAGGAATTTAGAATTTAGAATTTGTGAAATCTTGGAGTTTGAGTATGCACATTGGATAATTTAAACACCTATACGGGTCGGTTAGTTGATTTTTTTTGTTCAATCTAGCTGAATCGAGCTGAATATAGTTGAATCGAGGTGAATTGTAGTTCTAGGTTAATGATGAATTGGGATAAGTGGTATAACTAGGACAGTTGAGATAATTGGTACAAGTGGTACAACTAAGAGGGGTGGACAATTAGTACAAATTATAGTTATCGGACAACTGGTACAACATTATTATTGTAGATGTGGGACAACTGGTACAAATGGTACAAGTGAGAGAAAGCTGAGTATTGGGAACTGTTTTTTTGTATTTCCAGGAACTCCAGTAGAGGATGACGAGCCGCACAAACATACATTTTGATTATGGAGGGTATTACTCAGCAGGAGGAGAAGAGTTGAAATGGAATTCAAGAAATCCAATCTATGCTATATCATTTAGAGACTTATCTGTGGACGATTTAACATATTCAGTGCTTGTTGATGGTATATGCAAGAAGATTGGGTTGAACAACAGTATGACGAAGCTGAGATTGACCTATATACCGTTGGTAGCTAAGCCTTGTAGGGAGTCATGTATTGTCGATGATGGTGATGTTTATGTTTATCTAACAAAAGTGGATAAAGAGGGACTCAGATCTGTTCTGAATGTGGAGGTAGTAGAAGACTTGGAAAGGGAAAAGACAGGCGAGTTATGTGGGGAGCTTCCTAAAGTGGCTGAAATTGTAGAAGAAGCAGAGGGACAACAGGGACAACTGAAGATGATAGAGTATGTTGATTTAGGGGTATTACATGATGTTGATGTAATGGAAGAGAATGCGGCTGTTAGTGCGGGCCAATTGACTGATCACAAACCAGGAGAAGCAGAGGGACAACTGGTAGTAGAGGGACAACCAGGAAAAGAGAAGCTGATAGAGAGTGTTGATTTAGGGGTATTACATGAAATTGCTGTACTGGATGAGAATTCGGTACAGGATGAGAATGAGGCGGACGAGGACGAGGACGGCAGGGAAGGTATGAATGAATATGCAGATGAACATGATCATGTTGAGCCTCCACGGCCTGCAGAACCAACTCGGTTTGTTCTAGAATGGGAAGATGACGCTGGTTTTGAAAACATCAAGAATTTCGTTCAAAGGCGGCTTTGCGAGTTTTAGTAGATAGAGCTTCGCATAAGGGATGTTTTGAGATAAAAACTGTAAAGTCGGATCCTGGGAGACTCATACTCAAATGCCGTCAAGCTGAACATGGTTGTCCATGGTATCTACATGCTGTAAGGATGCATGATTCTACTTATTTCAGTATTAGAGTGTATAGGAATAACCATACATGCTCTAGTGTTGTTGCAAGCACAATTCGAAATAAAAGGAAAGGCACACCACAAGTAGTAGCAGATGTTTTGCGTGGAGTCTATCCAGGTGAAGTAGACACCCCTGCGCCTAAAGCTTTGATCAAAGTTGTTCAAAATGAAGCTCACGTTAATGTGTCCTATTCTACTGCTTTGAGAGGGAAAAAACTAGCTATCAGTGAGGTGAGGGGCAGTCCTGAAGAAAGTTATCGCAAATTGTATTGTTATCTTTACATGTTGCAGCTTGTTAATCCTGGGACAGTAACAAGTGTGAAACTGAATGCCAGAAATAAATTCAAATATCTCTTTGTCGCTTTGGGCGCTAGTATTGAAGGGTTTAGAGCAATGAGAAAAGTCATTGTTGTGGATGCAACTTTTCTGATGAGTGTTTATGGTGGTATGCTTGTTTTTGCCACAGGTCAGGACCCAAATCATCACCATTACCCCATTGCAATGGGTGTGATTGATAAGGAGAAAGATGCTAGTTGGTCTTGGTTTTTTGAAACACTGAAAACTGTAATACCTGATGATGAGGAGCTGGTTTTTATGAGTGACAGACCTAAGAGCATTGTTAAGGCAGTCCAGGAGGTGTATCCTCTGTCTCAGCATGGATTTTGCGTTTGGCATTTGTCACAGAACGTGAGAGGGAAGGCTAGGGTCGGATGTAAGGATTTGTGTGCAGAAAAATTCAGAGAATGCGCTCACAAATACACAGAAGTTGAGTTTGTAAGTGCATACGCAGAGTTTAGGAGGTGGTTTCCCAAAGCAGCTGAGTATTTAGATAACAGTGTTCATCTTGAAAAATGGGCAAGAAGTTACTTCAAAGGAGACAAGTACAACTTGGACACAAGCAATGCTTGTGAATCTATGAACAGTGTCTTCAAGAAGGCAAGGAAGTATGCCTTACTACCTTTGATTGATGCATACATAGAAAAAGTGTCTGAATGGTTCAACAAGCATAGGAAAGGCAGTGCTATTGCTTCAGACACGAAGAAATTGGTGCCATATTTGGAGAACCAGCTGCATAACCTATGTGCAATTGCAAATGGCTTATTTGTCACTGAGCTTAACCATTTTGAGCTTGAAGACAGTGTGATTGGGAATGATGGGAAGAGTTATTTGGTCGATTTGTTAAGCAAAACTTGTACCTGCAGGTGCTTTGATATAGACAAGATTTCCTGTGTTCATGCAATAGCCGCGGACATGGCACTGATGCGTAACCCCAACAGAAGGAGGGAGATACACCTCCATGAACTGTGCTCGAAATATTACAGATTGACACATGGGCGTTAGCTTATTACCGAACCATTTATTTGGTTCCACATCAGTCAACATGGATTATTCTAGAGGAAATTGAAAAGTTAGTCATCTTGCCGCCAGACTACACAAAAAAATCAGGGAGAAAGCAAGACAAGCGCTACCCTTCAACCGGAGAAGCTCACCGTAAACAAAGTAACAAGGCCAATCCAGGCATACATCTTGGTCGTTGGTTTGAACCGCTTAACACAGATGAAGATGAAGAAGAAAACCAAGGTGATAACCAAGGTGGTAACCCGAGTGAAGTTTAAATTTTTGATTTGTATTTCGTCTTTCTGTAAGGGACAACAGGTCGTTGAAATGGTATTTGTATTTTCTGGGTTTAGCAGGACAACTGGACAACACGGTACAACTAAGTATTATCAAATTTGGCCAATTAATGGGACAACTGGACAACACGGTACAACTAAGTGTTAATAAATTTGGCCAATTAATGGGACAACTGGACAACACGGTACAACTAAGTGTTAATAAATTTGGCCAATTAATGGGACAACTGGACAACACGGTACAACTAAGTGTTAAGAAATTTGGCCAATTAATGGGACAACTGGACAACACGGTACAACTAAGTATTATCAAATTTGGCCAATTATTGGGACAACTGGACAACACGGTACAACTAATTGTCCCAGTTTGGCCAATTAATGGGACAACTGGACAACACGGTACAACTAAGTGTTAAGAAATTTGGCCAATTAATAGGACAACTGGACAACACGGTACAACTAAGTATTATCAAATTTGGCCAATTAATGGGACAACTGGACAACACGGTACAACTAAGTGTTAATAAATTTGGCTAATTTATGGGACAACTGGACAACACGGTACAACTACGTGTTAATTTTGAAAAGTCAAAACTCTGGTTAACATAACGAATTCAACCTAACAAACCATAAAGAAGACATAGTTAACCTTTAAAATATATAAGAGACCAATAATAATGATAATGGATAATTACAAATTGGTTTAGTGAAAGAAAGTATGGGATTCTCATCAACAACCTCATATGCTACATGTAACTCTTTCATAATAGAACCATCTTGCAAGGGGAAAAACACAATTTAAATGATTTTGGGCAAATTGTATTGTCATCTAGTACTAAACGATTAGAATAAGTGAATAGTTAAAAGGACAACTGTAAATTATAGATTTATGTCCTAGGACGATTAGAATAACCAAAATGGACAACTATGAGCAATTTTGGACAACAGGACAAAAGGGTACAACTATGCACAGTTGTTTTCTGTTTAAGGGATGATGCAACACGTGGTCAACTAAAATGGCGGCGCCGACACATATGTTAAATATGTTAAATACTGCTTCGGGAGAAAAACTCCGTGTTTTGTTAAGTAGCCCCCTTTATAAAAATATTGGGAAAGAGAAATTCATAAGTTTTCCCCTAAATCGAAATCTAGGGTTTCGGCTTCTTAGGCGCGCCGCATCCAAAAATGCCTAGTTACAGTTCGGATTCTTCCGAATCGAAGCACTCATGGGACAGTTCATATTATCGAGCTGATGGAGAAGATGGTATGCGAGAAACGTGCTGGTGTGGCCGCCTAAGGTGATCAAGGAATCGAAATCTGAAGCCACAAGAGGAAGAAAAATGTACACTTGTCCAGATTGGCCGATTGAGGTAATAACTTTTGGAGTTCTGGGTTTAGGTTTAGGTCTTGGTTGAATTGGTTTAGGTTTAGTTTCAATTCTCGCGATTTCGAGTTTAGGGCTTTGGGAAATCTAACTAATTGGAAGTTCATCGCATCGTTACTAAGGGACCTCATCGCAATCATGACCACATTTGGAAGTGGTGGGACGATGCTGTTCAAGAAGAGTTATCACTGCTGAAACTTCGAGTTGATAATGTCAATTCTGGGCTGAAGAGCATGCAAAACATGGGTGTTGTCAGAAACTGCATTCACAACAATAGCTCCTTTGACACACATGAATCCGAAATCAGGCAACTCAGAGAGGTTATGGCTGGGATGGAAAGAGAGCTGGGAAAACTGAAGGACTTGGTTGCAAACAGGGTTGATGGATATGTGATAATCGCCTTTTTCATGGTGTTTGCTATGGTTTCATTTATTTTTAAGTAAAAACTTTGTATTTCGAATTTGATTTCCTCATTTTAAGTTTTGTTGTTGTCTCGTGTTGTCCGTTTCTAAAAAATTCTATATGAAATAAAATTATAATTATTGTCCCAGTTATCCTATATGTTACCGATAACTAATACAGTTGTCCGAGTTGTCTTATATGTTATCGATAACTGATACAAGTTGTCCTAGTTGTCCTATATGTTACCGATAACTAATACAGTTGTCCCAGTTGTCTTATATGTTACCGATAACTGATACAAGTTGTCCTAGTTGTCCTATATGTTACCGATAACTAATACAGTTGTCCCAGTTGTCAATACACAAACCCATAAATATCCAGCAAATAATCAATATCCAGCAAACAAGCAATATCCAGCAAACAAGCAATATCCAACAAACAAACAATATCCAAAAGCATAAATTATCAAATAAACATAAGTTCATAAGAGCATAAGTTATCCTAAAACCATAAATAACCCCACATATTGTTCACCCTTCTTCTCACTTCTTCTACTTAGCAGGTCTCTCTTCAGTAAAAGGGGATGACACATGTTTCGATGCTACATGGGTTCTCTTAGGGCGTGGTGGAAGCTCGCGTGGTGGGAGCTCGCGTGGTGGGAGCTCGCTTGGTTGCGGTTTCTTCTTATATCCTTTCTTCGTCCTCTTAAATGGTCCTTTGCCAGGTTCGTATATTAGGGCTCTCATTGCCTCTCTCTCTTCTTCCACTGTCGATGAACCTGCTGCGTATAAGGAGGGACCTGCTGCGTCTAAGGAGGGACCTGGTGCAAGAGGTGTGGTGGCAACAGCTGGAGGATCTGTTACAAGTGGAGAGTGCTCTGAAGCAATATCAGGCTCATCTTCCCTTGGTTCCATAGCAGGGACTTGAACCCCTGAAGCAATATCAGCCTCATACAGCTCTCTCCAAACAATCTTTTTCTTCTTCTTGGTTAAGTGATCCGTCCAGCCCTCGACGATTATGTCAATATATCCGATACCATCATCGAATCCAGGATCTGCGATCGCCGCCAATAGCTCTTCTTCATCCGAGTCAGCCTCCAAAATGCTACAAATGTCCTGATAATATCAACAAATACCACTTATTACATTTCTTCACCAACCATGTTTAATATCAAGCTAATAGCAATAATCAAAAATCACTGACCTCAGCACTAGTGTCAATAGCTTGGTTGATGTCATCCAAAGGAATACCTCTCATGGCTACATCAGTGAACCTATGCTTGCAAATCCTTGGACAGTTAGGCTCAGCATGGACAGTTTCACGAAACCTCTTTCCCAGACTTGGAATGCACTCAAACGCAAGAATCTACAAAGTCAAAACACAAATCAATCTAAATATTTGTCCCAGTTGTCCTAGTTGTCCACAGACCAAATTAAAGTACAACTAACTAGTTGTCCCAGTTGTCCATCGACCTAACATATAACGAATCCACATAGTTGTCCATGTTGTCCATCGACCTAACATATATTAATCTAAAAAGTTGTCCTATTTGTCCTATACCAAACAGATAATCTATTATCAAAGACATACCTGTAGAGGAAGAATGAAACCAGAGATTGTGCATTCAGCTCCTTTAGGCTTTACGCTGTCATTGAACTTAGAGACCACACGCTTGATCTCCCTTATAGTCTCGTCAAACGTGTAACGCCCCCAAGGAAACGTTCTGCACAGCTTCAGATCTCCGGCTGCTGCGAGCAAGAATAGGTCGATGTATCCATCAAGCTTTGACTTCGCCTTCAATACTTTGCATAGAAACAATAGTAGTGCCATCCTCTTCCTGTCCAAAGAGGATTCCTTCATTTCTGCTAGCTTTGCTTCCACTTCTCCGATCTTGATTTTGTCATCCCTGCCAAACTGCTTTTTTACAAATTTCATCTTACCCAACTTCTTATAATTCGCAGGGTAGTCATGGCAGTCAAGACCACATAGCAGTGCATGCTCCCTCAAAGACTATCGAATAGGCACTCCATTTACCACAAACCACGCCTCATTTTGCTTCTCAGTATAAGCTGTGTGCAGAAGAAGCATCCACAACCCTTGATTCATATGATTTGGCTCCTTATACATATGAAACAGGTGCTTGAATTGCGGATGCGATTTGAACCACTCCAACTCTTCAGGCAGATTTCCGATCACATCAAGGGTACTCTTAACTGCACATCTTGTAATTATCTTACACGCTTTGCTATATTCGGTTGGACCGAAATAAAGCTTCTCAGGCCCCATTGGCATCATTTCATCATCGGCATCCTGAAATTCAAAAGAGTAACACAATGTTATATAAATTATTTGAACTTGTCCCAGTTGTCCAAGTACCTTATCCTATATACAAACTAACTTGTCCCAGTTGTCCACATACCAGATATTTCATAATCAACATAGTTGTCCCTACTTGTCCTATGACCAAAAAAACAAGTTTCTTCATATCTGTCCTAGTTGTCCACATACCAAAATCTTAAACACACATACCTCTTGTAAATTGTCCTCTCGCATTTCTTCTTCCGCTTCAGCATTCTCATCTTCCTCGTGGTTCTCTTCCACACCTTCCATCTCTTCCTCTTGGTTCTCCAGGTCCGCTTCCTCTCCCACTCCTTCCTCCTCTTCCTCTTGGTTCTCTTCCTCTTCATTCTCGTTCTCTTCCTCTCTTTCCGCCTCTTCATTTTCGTTCTCTTCCACTCCATCCGCTTCTTCCTCTTCCTTCTCCTTCTCTTCCTCTCCTTCAGCCTCTTCCTCTTCGTTCTCCTTCTCTTCCCCTCCATCCGCCTCTTCCTCTTCGTTTTCCTTCTCTTCCTCTTCAGCCTCTTCCTCATCATTCTCCTTCTCTTGCACTTGCACTTCTTCCTCTTCGTTTTCCTTCGCCGTGGCCATGCTCGGTTCGTCGTTCACGAATCCAGGATGTATCTCGTTTGGACTTTCTTCGATTTCAGCCGAGTTTACTTCCCTTTCTGCCGCCGGAATTTTAGGTTTCCCGATTTCAGGTTCTTCGATTTCCGGCGGATTTCCTTTCGCTGGTTTCTCCTTGTTTTCGCTTTCGGGCTGGTTTTCGGCATCCGCCGCTGAAGAGTTCGCCGCTGAAGCAGTGTCATACACTTTGCCCTTATTTCTCACCTTCGCCATAGATTCGGGATTCTAGTTG